TATGGTAGGCGGCTAATAAGCTAATGGGATTGTGCGGTGGATGGAGTGAAGTCACGATCAGATTGTAATATTGCATACGGAACCATATTCAGGATTGCGTAATTTACTAATTTATTCCTCCTCATCCACATCATCCGCCATTCACAGATGCCTCCATTCTTCTTCCCAGCACCCACCTTTTTCCTTTCTCTGCTGTCTTCCTCAAAGCTCACCTTCACTAACTTCCCATCCTGGTTAGACAATTGAATTGATATGAATTACTACCTTCGATTCTTAACATACGATTTAGTTCACTAGTTTGAAAAGATCAAAAAAGTTAGTCAAGTTAATTATTTGTTGTCAATAGGTATTATCTTTCCTAAAATACCATTGCTAATCATATATATTAGTTAGAATTACTATTTGATAAAATTTTAACATATGCAACTACTGTAAGGACAACTTTATAAAAAATAAATAAATACAAAAGATAAAGTAGATTAGGGTCTTATGTTTAAAATCAAATTAAATGTCAAACAAGCTATTATAATAAGAAACTAAGATAGTATAATTTTCCTAACTTAGAAACACATCATCTTATTTTTTTTAAAAAAAAAAAAAGCTCCGGTTTATGGAGACCAGACTTTTTAATATTCAGATTAATTTTTCTCACGGACAAAGAGACGCGTACAGAAGCAAGAGTGGTAGCTTTCCACTATATGGTTGGTTAATTTTCCATGATCTCTGGATTTGTCCCATGCCCATGAGTACATATGCTTTCTTTTATCGTTGTTGTAACCTGGCTACGTTCATTTTTAACTTTAAATATTTTTCAGTGTCTCTGTTCTCTCATACTGTCATATATACTTCATCATCCCAACAATAATAGAGTATTTCTTTAATTTATATATTGTTCCGGTCTTAAATATAAGACCCATATACTAGTTTGCATAAAGGTCTTATATTTAGAACGGGGAGAAGATATAGAGAAATGTATTCTTTGTGCCCGTGTTGAGAATTCGTTGGATCTGGTCAGAATGTGATTTTGATTAAAGCAGCATGCGAGTGACTTTGTCTCCAAGCAGGTCATAAATTAAATGTACTCTTTAATTTCCAAACATGCGATTTGCCTAACAAGCTAACTTCGGCCGTTAGTCTTCTTTCAATTCACATTCTATACGTAACTAACACGGTTACGTCATTAATTAAAGGCATTAATCAGACTTTTCATGTGCCTTTGTCTATTACTATCTTGAGCTTTTGACGGTTATATATGTTACTACTTTTTATCCTAAATATAAGAATTAGTTTAATTCATACTACTTTCGGTCTTATTTATAAGAACTGGTTGACTAATTTGAGGAGATTAAATAAAAAAGTTAAGTTAGTTATTTATAATAAATATGTGTTGTCTTTCCTAAAAATATCCCTACTAATCAGGTGTATTGGCTAAAATTATTATTGTTAGAAGGACTGTCTTGGAAAAAAATGTATAAATACGAGAGACAAAATGAATTGAGATCTTATATTTAGGATCAAAACAAAAGTCAAACAAGTTTTTATATTAAGAACCGGAAGTAGTAGTATAAAGAAAACTAAGTATTATATTTAGAATTGAAGGTAGTAGTATTGTTTAACCAACAAACCTATGTTGCCAGTTACATCATATTTGGCTCTAGTGAACACAAAAAAAGAGGTTATACCATATTTGGCCGTCATAACACCATATTTACCGATGATAAACTATTAATAAATTTAAAATGTGATTGTCAACAAATTGTATTTCTGGCTAGCTAGTTAGTCTATTCATGAGCATCATTTGCCTTATGTGCCGTGTGAGAAAAATGGAAGAGGGAAAAAAGAAAAACTTATAATAAGTTCAATTTACAAAATTAGAAAAGTGGGGTTATAAAATTTTAACTAAAAAAAAGATAAAAGAACAAGAAAAATCAATTAAAAACTTTTAATAATTTTTTTATTTTTATTTTTTACGTGAACACATTAGAATTTTTCATCCCCTCCCCTCAGATCTAACAAAGATGATATTGGGTGCTTTCCACAAGGCATGGTTGGTTAATTGTGCCGGATCTGTCTGTGTCGATTTGTTCCACGTACTTAGGAGTAGTACATATGCTTTTCTCTCACGTCTTATCCTTTGCAACTAGGCTCCATTATATGCCCCGTTTCATTAATTATGCCACACTGGCTTCTCTCTAGAAGCATTTTGATACCTGAAATTGGGAATTACATAATCCACTCTTAATATATAATTAAATACTTTAAGTAGCTTAAGAAGGTTCATTAAATTGGTTAATATTATATTTATCTGGTCCTTAATATAAGAGCAATTTAACTAATTTAATTAGATTAAAGAAGTTAGGTAAGTTAATTAATTATAAGAATATAATATGTTTTTCCTAAAACACTACAATCATTTTCCCTAACCTCCTCCCTCCCTCACTTACTTGATTATAGTTGAGAGAGTATTTATAAAAGTAATTTAAGAAAAATTGATAAATATAAGAAACATGTCTTATATTTAGGATCAAAATTAACTTAACAATTATATCCTATATTAAAGACTAGAGATATATGTTTTTCTAAAACACCTTAAGCATTCTTCTTAATTCCTCATCTTTTTTTTCCTATTTGATTATTATTGAGAAAATATCAATAGGATTAATTTTAAAAAAAATTAATAAATATGCGAAATATGTCTTATATATATTATCAATATCAACTTCTCAATTAGGTCCTATATTAAGGACCAAACCAGCACCAATTTTTCATCTTCTGCTGATTATTTATTATTTTTATTTATTTCATCGTTTATGCATTTAAAAAAACTACGCCAGGTAGTCCCCAATGGCTAGATCGAACACGCCCTCGGAAAATCTAATTTACTGTGTATCATGTTATTTCTATTTATGAATGTTGTTGAGGCCATAAGTATTTTTTAGGTGAAATAAGGACATTTCTGAGTCACATTAAACTCGAGACTAATTTCTTTCAGTCTTGGAACAGTTAAAGAATAGCTTCTCCACAAATATGCATTTCGGGATTCGAATTTGTGTTCTCTTCTTTGAGAAGTGAATCCATCGTCGCTTCAAGTAACAGCTCGTTGCTAAGCTAAATATAAATTCACTTTTGCTGTAAACTAGTCATGTTAATTTATAAAATAAAAAATATATATATGTAGAAGAAGTTATCTTTAGTTAAACCAAAAATGCTCAAATTTCATACTCCTCCCGTCCTTAATATAGGACCCAATTATTGAGTTGGTTTTAATTCTAAATATAAGACCCATTTCTCATATTTATCAATTTTTTCTAAATTACCCCTATAGATACCCCTTCAACCATAATCAAGTAAAAGAGGGAGATGAGGTATTAAAAAAGATGATTATGGTGTTTTAGGAAAAATGTGTCACATTTCTTATAATTAACTAACTTACCTAACTTTCTTAATCTAATCAAATTTGTTAAATGGGTCTTATATTAAGGACCGAAGGAGTACAATTCTTTCTCTTCTTCGCCCGGGTGGCGGTTTTTTTTTGGGGGGGGATTGATTGGGATTATTAAGATTTTAATTTTATTTCATGTTCCAGGAAAAAAAATTATTTAATGCCAGAAGTCCAGAATCCTTCGCTCGTAAAAAAACAAGTAGTGGAGTACCAATTTATTAATATTTATCACAATTAAATTGTCATTATTTGATTACCATTTTGCTGATGTATCAAACTTATTATGATCCATATTCCCAAAGTACCATAATATTAATTTTAAAACCAAGGTCGGAAATATCATTATTCTTCAGGATGACTACTTCGTATTGACTATTTGAATTTAATTAAATGTGGACTACCCTACTTGTAAAGCTTTGGAACGGCCTAACCCGCATGATTCCCACAATCAGAAGTAATCAAGTTTATTCCATTCTCGAAATGTATCATCAAGGTACAAATTATTATTATTAGTAATACTAAGTTCTTATGAATTTACTATTTCTCAATAAAGAATCACCACTCCTATAATGACCCAATCTTCCGCGCTAATCATGCTTTGGGTCTTGCTAATCATAAATATTAATTATATTTATATGACGTTTAAAAGCAAGATTTGGGCGTGGGATTATCATAAACTGAGAAGTCGCGAGATCTTTGCGTGGTTGATCCCCCCAAAAGCAGAGGTGCCAAACTCAGCTGTCAACGTGACGACGAGGCACGGATCTCGTGAGTCGTGACAGTCCTTTAATATTCCATATCTTTTTCGTTTTTAAAAAAAAATTAAATTTATTCACGACACAATACCACTTATTTTTAAAAATTATTTAAAATTCAAATGAAATATTAAATACAATAAATTTGGGAAAAATTTCATATTTACAAGTGAAAGTTATTTTTCTGATGCTATTTATAAAACACATACAATATATTTCACTGGAATAAACAGGAATGTTAAATTCTATTAATGATGCCTTAAAATTTAATTATTTTTCTAATTTTATAAATATCCGGTGTACACATTCAAAAAAATAATAGAATAATAATTCATAAATAAAATTATCTATTTATGTAATAAATTCAAAAAAATTACTTCTATTAAAGAGAAAAAAAAATACTCTCTCAACTCCACACCACATGACCAGAGTACATATTTACAAGTTAAATTTAATAATTTACATATCCAACTCAAATTTTCATTATATTAAAAAAGTTTGAATAACTTATTAATTACTCATATTTAATTAATTGATTTGAACAGCCTGGAGTAAAATGAGTAAACGGCAGAGAAAACATTAGAAAAATAAGATAAAATTGTAATAAAAAAAGTCAAGAGAAGCAACGGGGAAAACAGCGAGGCAAGAATAACACGTGCAGAGAGAAGCGTTAGCGGTTTCGGTACCCATGGCCGCAATCGCAAACGGCGAGTGTAGGCCCCACCTTCTTCCTCTTTCCCTGAAAAAAAATTCATTTATAAATATTATACTATTCAGTATTCACGCATATGCATTACTCTCTCGCAGGCAATTGCGATTGCAACTAGAAGGTAGGGGTGAGAGAGAGAGAGAGAGACAGAGAGAGAATCTAGACCCTTGTGAGGCTCCTCGCTCTCTGGGCTGGGGCGTCGTTTGCAGACAGAATCGAAACCTGCCCTTAGTCCACTCGCTCTCTGTGTAATTTGTAAGCTTGTCTTCTAACTCTCTTTGTTTTTCTTTTTTCTGTGTGTTTAATTGATGGTCTTTTCTTGTGCCGTCATCATCACTTCAATCTCTGGAAAGATAAGGGGAAAAGGCATATGGGATTGTCGCCAATGCAAATTATAAGCGATCTCCTTTTCTTAATTTTTTCGGGTAATTTGCTGGAGGCTGAAAACCTGCAACTTTTGGATTTTGATTTGCATGTTATCATTTTGATCAAGTTTTTGTTTTATTGGATTAATTTTTCACAAGATTCCCTCTATTTTCCTGAGCATCCTGTACTGGCCCAACTCCTGAGATCCATACGGGGAATTTTGCCCTTTAGGGCTATATGTATCGGATTTTTGTTTCAATTCTGATTATTGTTTGCGCTGGACGGGTATTACCTGGTCCACGCTCTCAGCCGTTTTGCTAATTCTTACCTTTTTTCTGATCCTTATGTGCATGCGGTTAATTTTGCGCCAAATCCTTGTTGACTAGAGGGTGCAAAACATTTATATCGATCCTGCATGCCTTATTTTATCCCGATCTAAATCTTAAAAACCAATTGGTGAAGATTGTCCCAAATGTTAGGTTTTCTTGATTTTCTGTTAAAATGATATTCGAATGTGTTCTCTGAAACGGATAAAGCTGATGCATATTCCTTCATGATTGCCTAAAACTGGTATGATTCTCTTGTATGCATATCTGTATTGATATGCCTGAGTAATATCACTATGTCCTGCTGAGAAACTGATAATTAAGAAACAAGGCTTTTCTTGTGGGCAGATCAATAAATTCCAACAGAATGTTGGAGGGTCCGTCCTTTCTTGTTGCAAGGGAGTTACCAAGCTCATGTGAGGAAGAGAGCAGGTGGATTTACAGTACTATTCATGTAATGGAGCTGTCGAACAACAAGCGCAGACTGGAACATGGAGAACAAATGGTGTTAGGAAAGTCCTGCAAACGTTCAGATGCTCCTGACGAAGGAGAAACATGGTTGAGAGTGCAAGACCTTTCCCTTTCCCACAACCAAATAAATGACCAAAATCATGCAGGTGATCAGTCAGATTCAAGCTCACTTATCCACCAACTCGGGCGGGATATGTCAATTAACTGTCTCCTTCGATGCTCGAGGTCTGATTATGGTTCTATTGCCTCAGTGAATCAGAATTTTCGATCTCTCATTCGAAGTGGAGAACTATATAAGCTCAGGAGGCAGTTTGGTATTATAGAACATTGGGTTTACTTCTCTTGCAATCTCGTTGAATGGGAGGCATTTGATCCAAACAATGGTCGATGGATGCGCTTGCCTAGATTGACTTGTAATGAATGCTTTATGTGTTCTGATAAGGAGTCACTTGCTGTTGGTACGGAACTTTTGGTGTTTGGAAAGGAGATCATGTCTCCTGTTATCTACAAATACAGCATATTGACAAACTCATGGTCATCTGCTAAAGAAATGAATACTCCTAGATGCTTGTTTGGTTCAGCGAGCCTTGGTGAAATAGCTATCCTGGCTGGTGGTTGTGACCCACGAGGCAACATCTTAAGTTCAGCTGAGCTTTATAACTCTGAAACTGGCAATTGGGAGACTCTTCCAAACATGAACAGAGCAAGGAAAATGTGCTCTGGTGTATTTATGGATGGGAAATTTTATGTCATTGGGGGGATTGGAGTAGGCAACTCAAGACAGTTGACGTCTGGTGAGGAGTTTGATTTGCAGACAAGGAAATGGCGTGAAATACCCAATATGTTCCCTGGTCGATATGGAGGGGCTGGGATAGCCGAGGCACCGGCTGCTGCTGAGGCACCTCCTTTAATTGCAGTTGTAAATAATGTATTGTATGCTGCAGATTATGCTCTACAGGAGGTAAGGAGGTATGATAAAGCCAGGAACTTATGGATCACCATTGGTAGGCTACCTGAGCGGGCAGCTTCAATGAATGGTTGGGGATTAGCTTTTCGGGCATGTGGAGATAGGCTAATTGTTATTGGTGGGCCTCGTGATTTAAATGTGAGGGCAATTGAAGTTAATGCTTGGGTCCCTGGGGATGGCGAACCACAGTGGAACCTGCTGGCCAGCAGACAATCAGGTAGCTTTGTGTATAATTGTGCTGTGATGGGATGCTGAAGATTTTGGGGCTTCGTGAATCTCTTCTGATTGGAATTAACAACAATCTTCAATTTTCTTGGAGATGAGTTCTGGCTTATGGGTAAACTCTGCCCTCCTTTTTGGGGAAATTTCATGTCGTACTTAGAGTCATAGATACAGGTTTAGAAGTTTCACAGGGTGGTCATTTTTTTCCCTTTCTTTTTCTAGTTTCTTATGGTCTTTTTCACTTAAATTAGCATGAGGGCTTGTCAGATGTTGGCATCCTGTAGGCACAGGCAAATAATGTGAACTGGTACATGTTGTGTTGCAATGGCCATTTTTACAAATTTAATTGAAGCATTGCAGAATTGTAATTGTTATCTCATCTCAGCTTTGCTTTCGCCTTTTCTGGTGGCTCTAAGAATTGTAATTAGTATCTCATCTCATCTTTGCTTTCGCCTTTTCTGGTGGCTCTAATCACCGTCTTATGCTTCAGCTCTTCCCACCGCAGAATGTGCACAAATAGTAAGAGAGAAAAAGAGCTTAGGAATAGGCTGATTAGCCTCATGCATGAATCTTCCCTTCTTTTTTCATAATGTTTCCTTCTAAAGGCAATGAACAATGTGTGGTTACTTCTCACTGGAAGATATACATGGAATTAGAAAGCTGAGCAGATCTATTATCGCCACAATTATGAAGAAATTGACTCAGATTATACTGTCAATGACTGAAGTTTATTTAATTACAAACGTGACTGCAAGTGCCCCTGCTCCTCTAAAAGATCCTTTCACCATTGCTGGGTGAGGTTTGGACATTTTTGAATGGCTGGCATTTTGTTCTTGTTTGGCGTTATCATGTATGAACTCCTTACTGACTGTTGTTAGAATAATGAGGATTGACTTGTAGCCAAAAGATTGTTTTCCTCTTCGTTTTGGAGTTATCTGCCTTACGAAATTTGGAAATGATCTTGTGATATTTAGGACACATTAGCATGATTTCTGGAATTATTTGATTCATAAATGACCTTCCCAAATTATGTGTCATAAGCTCAGATTTGATGCAAGGGATTTTATTATTATTTATATTGTTTTTCTGTCAACGATTAAATCAACCTGATACATTTGGTTTAGATGTATGCTGTCTTAGATGTTTTCCCCCTCTCTGACTTAAGCGGTTTCAAACGGTTGGCTATGTAAATTTCTTGGTCTCGTATAATCCTGTTTTAGAAGGTTCAATGCATCCAATCATGTACAACACTGTTGGAGTGCCATCCTGTGAAGAGAGGATGGATTGAGGCATACGAAAATCAAAAGCTAGATGTAACTTTCTGTAGAAGGATGATAGAAGGATAGTTCGCTCATATCACTGATTCTTGCAGGCTTATCTTTCTCCTCATTGAGGTGGAAGTATCTTTAGGGCTCTTGAACGGCAATAAGCGGTTCGTAGATATACTTGCAACTCTGCTATGCAAGTTTGAAATCATACACTCGCTGGCCAGTTTGTAGATACCTGGTCTCCATAGAATGCTTGATCCTTTAGTTCTTGCTGTGGCTCATGTACATTATTACTAAAGTGGCTTAGCTATTGGCTTAATCATGAACGGTTGGTGTGTTCTTAGAGGATGAGAAAGGTGATAGGATACGACTTGGAGAACCACAAAGGCAAGCATACATCGGGGAGTGGTGAACAGTATGATCTGAGTTATTGTTGGTCCAGATGTGGTGGGTTCGAACAGTTCTTCGATTATCTGCAAGATGATAAAGAAATCTTTGTAGGAGACAACATGGCAAGTACAGATTGTACAACCACCGAAAAGGAACAAATCATAATATATGGCCCACTCACATGTGCTTCCCTCCCGCTTCTCCAACTTCTGCTCCTGCTCCTGCTCCCATAGTACTTTGCCTTTGCACTTTACTTCCCCAGACTCCTTTCACTGTTATATTTATCTCTTTAAAGATAATCTTTTTAAAGGAGTATTCTTTATTTATTTTATCATTGAAGATCGATTAAAGCAACTAACGAATTGGCTGATATAAACTATAGCGATTGATTAGGGGAGCTAAAGCGATAGTGAGCTTATGTCATGATGATGAAACCATGCATGGAAAATATGGGAGTTAAGAAGAAAAGGGAGAGAAATTGGAAATCGAAAAGAATATTGCACTGATTTTTGAATTCGGAGGAAGGATTTCCCATTGGCTTTCTTACGGAAAATGGCTTAATGCAGGCGCATATTATATATATAAATCAATATTGGTATAGGTATAATAAAATTTTTTAAGCAGATTGTATTGTTGATATTCATATTCATTAATAATATACTCCCATGTGATAAATATAAGATCCATTTTATAATACTACCTCTCGTTTTTATTATAAGATCTTGTTTGACTTTTATTTTGGTTCTACTTATAAGATCCCAATTCACTTTGTCTCTAATATTTATACATTTGTTTCCAAAATAGTCTTTCTAATAATGGTAGTTCTAACCAACACACTTGATTAGTAAGGATATTTTAGGAAAGACAACACATATTTATTACAAATAACTAACTTAACTTATTTTCTTAATCTCCTCAAATTAGTCAACTAGCTTTTATAATCAGGACCAGAGGTAGTATAAGTTTTATTACAAAATAAGTTTTATATTTAGAACATAAAGAATATATTTTTTTCATATTTAATTTGCATAAAATGTAAGGTTGGCACCCATATCGAATGCTTGAAAACTACTACTTTCGGTTCTAATTATAAGAGGTAGTTGATTAATTTTAAGAAATTAAGGAAAGAAGTTAAATTAGTTATTTGTAATAAATAGGTGGTGTCTTTTCTAAAATATCTTTACTAATCAAGTGTATTAGCTAGAATTACCATTATTAGAAAGATTATCTTGGAAAAAAATACATAAATATGAGAGACAAAGTAGATTGGGATTTTATATTTAGGATCAAAATAAAAATCAAATAAAATCTTATATTAAAAACCAGAGGTAGTATTTAATATTTATTTATTTGTATTTTTCTGAGGTGTTCATTCATGTTATCGTATCACTTCACTTGTAGATGTAACCGAATGAGTAAAAATTAACGTCGCAATTAAAATATTATTCTACTAAAGTACCTAGTGATTCGCATGTTAATAGAATTTTCACCAAAAAAAATATTTATGAATTATTTATGGTTTTTTCCCCTTAAAGATCCGATAATATGCTGTAAAAGCTAAAAAGTAAAAACTATATGCTGTATATATTGTCAGAAAAACTATACGCCCTTTCATGCATAAGCGTGATAATTATGTTACGTTTTTGGCGGAAAAAAATTTTAATTAACGTGAAAAGTTTTCACCGAGTCGCGCAAAGTCTAAAGCACCCTTGTGCTTCATTCGAATTTTCCATTTCTCACCCACCCAAGACTATATCTGCATGATTTCAAGAAATGGAGTCAGCTGAAACTTGAAACCCTTTTCAGCATCAATCCATCACCTGACCTCTCCTTAACATTTGGTTCCCTTGATGAATAATTGGGTTCTGTTATGTAACCGAGCCTTCGAGTTTGAGTTGAAAACTCACGCTGTCCATGTGATGCATCAGGTTTACTAATCATCTCGTCTACTTCTTTTAATTTTTGTACTTGCTATATTCTGGTATTGTGGGTGAAAATTTTTATTATTTATTTATTTATTGGGCTGTTCAATGAAGAGGGAGAAGATGGTGAGAATAATGTCAAAGCAGAGAAGAAATTGAACCGTTATATCCATCTTTCCTCATAGATACTGGTGGTAATTGATGCTGGTTGGCTCATATACGTAGAAATAAGTACAAGGTTCGGTGTGGAGAACAGTAAACCAATTAGCTATGGCCCCACGCCTCTGCATTTCCCAATTAGCACAAGTAGGTTGAAAACCAGGGTTACTCTGTCCTCTGTAGAAGGACAAGGAAGTTTATTTATTATGACACATATATTGATGTTACAGTATTACTATGTTGAGAAAAGAAAACCACCTAGCCATTTCACGTGAGTGGCAATTAGCGAATGATGGAGGCAGAAAAGGATGATCTAATTACGAAATACAGCTTTAGGATCGGTAAATCCCTTTTTGAATCCCATTTTGGAGTAATCTCATAAGAAAGACAGCTAACCACTGATAACAGTCAACAGCTCTACCTTTATGGATGAGGATTATATGCTCAAAGTGGAATGATTAATTCCATGGTGATGATTTTTACGAATATGATCGCAAATTGACTTACAAGGACTCATTTTTTAGCTTCCTGTACGGTTTGCATCAATATAAGCAGAAGCTTCGCTTTACATTTTATGAACTGCCTCTGGATTGATTGATCAACTTTTGCAGAAAATCAATTGTGCTAGTTTCATGAAACTTCACTTTTGGGTTGGGGTTGCTGAAGATTCCGTACTGGATGAACAGAAACTTTTAAGTATTCTTCAAGGCAAAACTCCTGAGCGAGGGGCTTTTCATGATCAGAACCCCGTGGTATTGGAAGTCATGCCATAATTATATTCCCAGCTATCTCCTCAAACGTGCAGGAATGTGCATGCTTGCTACTAAAATGCGTAGTTAAACTGACAGATGAACTATTAGCTTCAAGTCTTCAGCTACTAAGCCTATGGCATATCCTTGGCGGAATCATACCCTGGGATTACTCTATACTTTGAGGAGGATGAGGTCTGCGGAAATTTTTGTTCTATCTGTGTTCTGTGACCGACCTGACTGGCTTGATCTGTGGACAGAAATAAGCTCCGTACTAATGATCAAGGTGCAGGAAAAAAATTTGGCAGAGAAAGTTGAAGAGGGTAGTTCTCACATAACGCACTGATTATCTCAAGTGTCTTAATTTGGTTGTGGCTTGGATATTTGAGAGCTGAAGGCTTCTCTCCAAAAGTAGGTAATTTTTGAATTATTGATGATGATAGTGGATAAAATGGAAGAATGTTTAGCAGTAGGGAAGGAATGGTTCAAACATAATGGAATAGGGAATTTGATGTTGATCGCATTACTAATTATTGGGAACCTCGGAAAAGTCCTTCTTCAGTTCTTCCTCAGAAAATAACAGTCAAATAAATGAGGAACAAAGTTTTCCTGTTATTGCTTCTGGATTTGAACGTCCTACAGGTCTTTTCTTTTGGAAGTTGAGAGCAGAGAACAGCAAAACCTTTCGTTTTCCTCGAATAAAGGAGACTTTGAATTCATCACTGGTTGGTATCATCATGTTATCATCAAACAAAAAGACCATTTGATAGAAGAACAACAAAAGTTAATTTCGATTATTTTGCCTATGAGCATCAAGCTTGAAGCTCCATTATCTGTCATTGTCTTCTCCTAACCGAATATATGGTTACCAGAACAAGGTCTAACAGCTTTTGAATATTGGTTACCTCCTATTATTTCTGAACTAAGAAGAATCTCACCTTATAGCCAATCAAAATAAGAAAAAGAGAAAATATAGAAACACCTTCATGTTTAATGGTCACTCGAACTATTCTTTATATGAAAGTTGCATTCACTATTGATATTCATGCTCTGCCTCCTTTTACTGTTACTGACAAAGGCACTGAAGACTTGTGTCTTTTCCCAAATTATTTATATCCGCAGCTATATGGGAATCTGAGAGTGCTTCTAAAATGTCTCGTGGATTTTAACCATTATGCCTAGAAGCATTGCGCATGTTCCTATATTGGTAGTAGGATTGGACAATAATTCCAACTTGTTTAGAAGAGCGACGTGAAGATTAGAAGGAAGACTGGGCCCTGAAATTTCAAACAGTGTAGGACTGAATATATGAAAATTGTCCTATACAAACTGCTATAGCCTTTTCTTTCTCGTCCTCTTCTTTTTGATAGTTGATCCCTAGAAGACGCGACTCTAGCATCCGTGGCTGCAAGTGGAAATCAGAACCTTCCAGTTGCAACATTGACTTTGTGTATGAAACATCAATGTCTAGCTTGATCTCTGCACTAGAAGTTACAGATACACAATTAATAAAAAAGAGACATCCGTATCTTGGAGAGTATGTGCCGACACAAGCTCCTAGAATGAGTTAGGGTGATTCAAATCTGTGCAGTGTGATTGACTATGAAATGATGATTTTTATTTTGCCCTTCGAGTTAATTCATGTTCATGCTATTACCTCTTACTGAGTCGACTTTTCACTGAATATCACCGAAAGAGTATGGTAAAGAGAACTCTGGGGACTGTGTCTCAGAACATAAAGACATTGAGGGCCCCATCAATATTTCTGGAGAGTGTTCACATCGGACCTAAATAGTACGACATATCCATCCCGCTTGTCCAATCCCGAGACGCCACGTGGGACCACTATAGCTGCATCTTCCGCATCAGATAATAATTTACTTATTGCTGCCGCAAAGTTAGGGGCAAACAATTATGAGGTTTGGTGAATAACGCCAAAGGCTCACTTATTTGGTCCTGTCACTGCCATTTCCTTCTTCCCTCCGTGACCAGTAGCATCTTCTTGCTAGTCGCCTTCATGCACATGTCTGTGTAGTTTAGTCATTCATTTTCTTCTGCATGGCTCGTCACATCAAGCTCTATGCTTTGGAAAAAGAAGAAATAATGAATATGGGAAAGTGAGGGAGAAATGGAAGCAGTCTGGAAGAATTAGCATGAACCATTTAGCAGTGTGAAGGACTTTCGCATTATACATTTGATTTTGACTTTCGCTACGGGGTAGCTTCTTTTGGACTTTTGGATTAGGTGCCAAAGACACTAAACTGGTGCTTGTGAACAATGCAGAATTTATTCAAATATTTCAGGCTTCTCAAATGATTTAAATAACGTCTTCTCAATGAGATTATTGTGTTTTATACAAGTTGTTTTTAGTATGTAATGGTTTTTCTTGTTCGTTCTCTGTCTACGTATCTGCTGACAAGCTCCGCCTCTGTACCCACCAAGTCCCTACAATTAAGATTGTCTTGAAATTAATTAGCTAGTGACTTAAAATTTGGAATTTGGCCAACATGAGTGAAAATATTTAAATCTCAATAAGGAAGGGTTATTGAACTTGCAATAGCTTACACCTCAAACGTGGGCCATTAAATACTTAATCATTTGTCCATTAATGACATGTATTCTTTAATATCTTTTACGCTCTAGATTGGAACAGACTTTGATGGCCTACCCAATGAATGCTCTGTATCCAAAAGGAAAATATATAGTAGAACCACCGGACATGACTTCTCCGAAGGATTATTGAACAAGCAATCAAATAGAGGAGGTATGCCGCCCCCCCCCCCCCCAAAAAAAAACCTTAATTTTCTCGCAAAACAAACAAGAGGTTGTCATTTGTTGTCCTGTTTGCATCTGTAATTTAAATGTCTAGATATTAATTCACTTCCAAAATATTAAGGCTGTCCTTCCTGATGCATGTATCAGAAACAAGGTAAGGTGATTGCTTTATATTATAAGAGATTGGCGGCCAAGGGCTTTAAAATCCTGCGTTATTGTGGGGCCATGTAATGGCAGAAATTTGTGACAATGGGGCCCTAAACAAAACAATTTAAATTGCTAATGTTTGTAGGGAGTTGTCTTGTTCTAACTAATTAGTATCTTCACGAAACTTGATATTGAAACAATCTCTCCCTCCTTTTCTCTATTTAAGCAGGCTTTTATCAGTGAAACTTCCTCCTGCAACACGGTGCAAGCAGAAAGGCTAAAGCTTGAGAGCACCACAAATAGAACTTTGAGCCATGTCTGGCCAGAAAAGTCGTAGAGCTTCAAACTTCAACGAGAATGAGATTAATGATCTTGTGTCCAAGTTACAAGCACTTCTGCCACGCCTGAACCGAAGGGCTGACTCAAGGGTATGATGTTCAATAAGACATATCGACAATTTACTCTGCTGCATGACATGCATTATCAACTACTTTGTTTTTATCAAAGATCAAAGCTTTTCCGGATCAAAGTTCCTCAGATTTCATTTGTGAACAGAAGCTTTAGATTCATGCACTTCTGATTTTAAGGTTCATTTACTTAGGAACAACGCGGCGACGGGAATCTTAATTACTCTTGATTACATGGTTATGGATAGAAATTCAGTACCATGTCAAAGATCACTGCTTTAAAAGTTCATTCTTTTACACGAAAATCCGCGATTAAAGCAGAAATTGGTGGGTGTGTGGTGCAGGTATCAGTATCGAAGGTGTTGAAAGAAACTTGCAGTCACATCAAGAAGCTACAGAAAGAGGTGGAAGAGCTCAGTGAAAAGCTAATAGAGCTGATGGATTCTGCTGACATTAGGGATATAGACGAAGAGAGTCTTCGAAGATTATTGCTACATTGACGAATAATGAACCATATAGCGTATAGGCCTTATCACCTACCCTTTTGCTTTTTCTCTCTTTTCCTGTTGCGTACCCTTTGTTGGTGGGCTTCGACCGCTACATATTATAATATCGAGCATATCTAGTGGATGCTATCTTGTCGTTGAAATGCTACCAAGCTACTATATGCTTGGTCCGATGTGTGAAATGAAGAACTTTCTGCCATTTAGGGGGAATTAATCTCTTCTCTGATTTGATGTATATTGGGAAATTGTAGCTATGCTCATGCGAGTTGAAAATTTTTCATCTAGATTTCAGTAAGGCGGAGTAAGACTCAAAACGACCCTCGTACTTTCTTATCTTCTTTCATGAGTGACATCAAGAGTAAGACTAGGTTGTTTTAATAAATGATTTCAACTTCTTTTATGTGCGACAAGTTCTTCAATCAAAATGAAACTACCTCATTGGAGATGATTTAGAGGGAGTTTGGAAACCTTAAAAGTATTTTTAAAATGTATGTTTTCATGCAAATTGAGACAAAACTCTTCTTACATACTTCTTTTAAACATTATAAAATTACTTTTAAGAAGTTAATCCAAACAACTCTTTAGAAAACTATTTAGCCTATGTTACATGATTTATTAATTTAGGCTCCATGCATAGTAGGAAAACGTTGAAAGGGTTTCCCGCTTATAAAGAGTCCTAATTTTTTAATGGAGTTCACAGTTTTTTTTTTTTTTCCAAAAAAGAGAAAGCTTAACATGGCCCGTCACCCTGATCCTTCCATGACATCCATTCGGTTGTTGTATGATCTTTGACCATAGCATTTTATGTTTAAAAGAAATGAAATGGCCTACTTATTACCCGTTCTTTTCCACTTTTAAATTTTCCTGCGTTTGATTTTCTTATAAAACAAGAGGCCAAATAGCTGTCATATGCCGGCGCATCTTGTTGGATAGATATTATTTTATACGTCCATAATTATTCGAATCCTCATCTCGCTCTTATTTTGCCTGACATGTCACCTTGTTAAAAATAAACAAACTAATTAAGGAGTATAATCCTCATAAGTTTGTGATTTATGTTAATAAATACCCATTACATTCTCTCTCTCTCTCTCTCTCTCTCTCTCTCTCTCTCTCTCTGTGTGTGTGTATATATATCACATGAAAAAATAATTTGATGCACACCCGAATGGAAGTTCATAAGTGAAAGTACAAATGAAAATTCGGTACTAGTCACACACACAAGTGATGAAGTCATATTCAATTCACAAAGCATCCATTGACAATTTTCATTTACATTTCTCTGGGACATTATTAGATTGCCAAAAATGGCTAGGGTGCCGTAAGAAAAGCAGAAGTTTTTGATCCACAGACATACATACATACATAATAAAATCAAAGATCACTGATCAGATAATCCTTAGGATAACCCCAAAAAAAAAAAAAAAAACAAACAGCAGAAAAAGATCTGTGTATAGAGCACAATTACTTTACTATAACGTGTTGTTTAAGAGGTAATAATGAGAGTTTCATGAATACAAATCTTCAATGGAGGGACATGTTGAAGCGTTGTAGTAGGATGCGAATATTTGCAACGATGGCTAAGCTGTTGCTTGTGTACTCCCTCGATCTCTGCATCTTCTGCTTCATCTCTCCCTGTGCCGCCGACTCTGTTTCCTCCAATCCATCCAAACACGTTTCCTGGTCCGTCACCGCCGCGCTGATCCACGTCTGTATGTCGCTGATCTTCGCATCCGTCAACGCCTTGTCGCCGGGAGAAACATTCATCGCCAACAGCGAGTCGTTGAGTCGACTCAGCGCGTCATCGATATGATCCTTACAATCCGTGATAGCGGCCGCGTTGGAGGTCGAAGCCAAGGTTCTGAGGGAAGACGACAGCTTAGAGAGCTCGTTGTGGGAAGCACGAAGAGACAGCTTGAGAATGGATTCGGGGTCGTTAGGGTTTTGGAGGGAAGTGGTGAGGGGGGAAATACTGGAGTAGCAGGAGGCCGGGAAGCGAGTGACGTTGCAAACGGTTCTGATGGAGGCGTCGAGGCCGGTGTTGGCGGTGGAAGGGGTTGATGGAGATTCCGGGGGTCCGGAATTGGAGGAGTGGATGAGAGCTCCGAGCGTGGCACCGACAGAGAGAGTAAGGAAGAGGATGGCCAAAACAGAAATGGTGGCGACAAGGGGCTTGCGGTTAGGGGGTCTGGGGAAAGAGGGCTGATCTTCGAGGTGATCGCCGACTTTGCCATAGCCCTGGAAGAATTTGGAGGATTCCATGGTTGGGTCTGAGACGAAGGAAGAAGATGAACTCTGTTATTTATTTATTTTTAGAGCCCGAAAGAATAAAAGAAACACCAGGATCCAGTTTTTCAAATTCCTCCTGCTTTTCCAGAGTGCCAACTTTGGAAGTTAAAGCCGCGTTTTCTTCTTCTTATTCTGGTATTCAAAATCCTTTGTCTGAAATATGGACTCTGGCTATTTGTTTTTTTGGGGTCAACGACTCTTACTAATTTAACAATAAGGATTAGAAATTAGTTTTAGATTTTGTCCTTGTGAAAAATATTAATTTTTCTTCAATAGCTCCCAAGTATAAATAATTAATTATTTTGTCGTCGGCGTCCTTAGTTCTTAGTTCTTACCACGAACTTTTTTTCCCCCCTCCCCTTAAAGTATAAACATTTTTTTTATTAGAGGTAATTTTATTCGAGACATTATTCGACATTAAATGTAAACACCTCATTCAGTGAAAATTTGAATTCATCATGTTACGAGGGACTAACCCCTTCTACTAAATGCAACTCATTCCTAGCACTTACCTCTTAAGTCTCACCTTTCCTCGAATTAAGCTGAATTTAAAGCCCGTGTTGTAAATGGCAAAAGCCGAGGCCCATCTGATTGGGCTATCTCAAATAAATGGGCTCAGTGGCCCATCCCGAAATTTGTTATTTTTGGCGGATTTGTGGGGAGCATGCATATTTAGATGCCGGCGAAGCTGCGGACATCCATTTATGCATGATTAACCCCATCCACCATCCACATGACATCTTGTTGGTTAGTGGATAAAACGAAACAATCATTTAAAAAAAAAAATCATCTTAACGTAGGCAGAGCAAATAATAATGTCTTGTGCGAACCTTCCTTTTGTTTTTTTTGGCTGGTCAATGCTTCTTGTTCTATTTTGAGAGATGCTTCAATCTTCAGCCTTCAGTGCGGATTAAAATGAAGTCAAGTACTCAAGATTGTTGATAAATAATGTATACTTAATATAAGTCATTTATAATATATTTTCACATATCAAAAAAATATACTAAATTAAATAAAAAAATCATTCTCACCTCTCTTTCTTCTTTATTCTTTCCTAATAATAATTAAATAAGGATAAAATTAAAAAATGAGTATTAAATATACTACAATTGATTTATATTTATGATTAAAATTTCTCCTCATAAGTGACTTGTATTTAGTATAATAAGCAATCATGTGACTTTGTAATGAGGTAATGACTATGAAAAATTTTACTCCAAGGAAAATCGACATCTCCTATCATTAATATTAATCATGAATTTCAGAATTTCACTCACGGCCTCTTGAGAATTAAGCAATAAAAAAGGAACGTGTCAATCTCAGAATAAGATGTTCATAAACTTAATTGACAACAATTCGAGGTAGATTAAAGTCACATCTAAAATTTCACCCACAACCACGTCATACATGACGCGCAAAAAATCGCAAACTTCACTTATTTTCAATTTTACAGTGTCTAACCGTTGTTGTTTCCAATTTGTAAATTTTCCTTGAACAAAAGTAATGACTTTTGATGCCACCCCATCTGATACGCTCACGTGAATGCCATATAATGATCTTCCTTTTTGGGCCTGAAAATGCCATGTTTGTTGGAGACTGAGATGCCTCAGAAACGCATACTAAAATGGCAGCCATAGGAAAGTGAAGCTTTGCTGAGAATAGTAAATTTTAATTTATAAATAAGCTGTACGTTATAAAAAAAGTATGAAGACTTCCATATTTGTTGGCCAAATATAATAATAGTACAATCCTTCCGGTCTTCCATTTGGCACCTAAACGCCAACATAAACAAATCAAACCGACAAAGTGCAAACTAATGACGCCAAGAATTTGTTAATCAACCAATTAAGCATGAAAAAAGTTGGTTTCCCTCCTTTTCATTAACCGTGACGAAGAAGGGGTCTTGTTAAATTCTTAATCTTGCTCTGTCATTTCTGACTTGCTCGCGACGTCCCTTGCCACCATTAGTCACTCAGGAGTTCCTTCCTTCTGATCGCGTGCGTGCTCCATAGTTTCCTTTTCTTTCGCAACATCTTTTCCGTCTCTGTTTAAGTTAATCTATTCCTTTGGTTGTCGATTTTCCAAGATAAAAATCTTAGCTTTGTTCTGAGATTTCGCCAACTCCCCCAAATCTCGATCCCTTGCCTTTAAAGGCCCACGCCATCATCATTATTTCCCCTCTATTTACTTCTCTCATTTTCTGGGCCCTCCCGAAGGATTTGTTTTCTGGGTTTTTGGTGGAAATGGCGTCGAGCATAGGAATCATGGACAGTGCTTACTTTGTCGGCCGGAATGAGATTTTAACTTGGATCAACAAAAGACTTCAACTCAATCTCTCGCGCGTTGAGGAGGTATCGACCATTTTCTGTCAAACTTAAAGCCTCGTCTGGTTTTGGTAATGTCGAAAGAAACAATAGAAAGTTTGGAATGATGCGTTCTTCCTTCCATTTATCTCTTGCTACATTGAGTAAAATTTATTACTCTGAATCGCTTTGCTTTTTCTTCCCGTGGCGGTGCTCATATTCGTAATGCATTTTCGCTCCCGAAGTTTAAGGGATTCCCTAGTCATTCATGCTTGCCTTCTTCTGCGTCATTTTTGAACCAGACGCCGTATTTAAGGAACTATTCTTCGGTTTACTTTATTATCTGAATTACTAGATCGACTCGGAGAAGTAGTTATCCTATAATTTTGCACCAAACTCTTTGTTTAATTGGCTCCCTGGCTTCTTTTTACTTATTTAATTTCCGGGGTAGTGATTCTAGTTTGTTATCAAAGAATTCCAGCATACTGACCGAGAAGTTGACCTACATTATTCGCCTCTAGCTATCTTTGTGATAAAAATTGGGCTTCTGATTATGACCGGCTATATTTTCCTGCACAGGCTGCATCTGGTGCTGTACAATGCCAGATCATGGACATGACATATCCGGGGGTTGTTCCAATGCACAAGGTGGCCATATTATTTAACTTTTTTTTTATGCTATTATATCGTCATATTCGCGTGTTGGTATTTAAAATCTGAGGTTGATTCCAGGTGAATTTTGATGCGAAATCAGAGTATGATATGATCCAGAATTACAAAATTCTTCAGGAAGTGTTTAACAAGCTGAAGATTGAGAAGGTATTCTTTTAGACCCTGGGGGACAATCACGAGAAAAGCACGCTATTAATTACATCTCAATTCTCACCACGACTAGTTAGCATCACAAGTAACTGCTAACTAATTCTTTTCATTGCTGATTCAGAAACGATACAAGGTTGAGAGGATTGCTAAGAACAAGGCTATGCTTTAATAAACATAAAAAAAGGAAATAATATTAGAGTGGCTTGCAATAATTTGTATGCCAGGCATTTAATCAGCATTTTCCCCCCTCTGGTGTAAAATAATAGCATAGTAATCGCATTTTTCAAATAAGAAAAAAGCGAAGTATTTTTGCTGTATGTGATATCTGTTCCCAGTTTTGCTAGTTGCACGAGTTCCACGGCAGGGGTTGATTGGTCCCCGTACTGTAAATAGTGATATGATTTAGGATGATTCCTTCACATGAGGTCAAAAGCTAGCTTAAGAACGAACTTCGTTGCACTCAATCAATGTATTTTTTCCTTTATTTCGCTAACTTACCTACTTTGTGGCAGCATATTGAAGTTAACAGGCTCGTTAAAGGCCGACCGTTGGACAATTTGGAATTTCTACAATGGCTGAAACGTTATTGTGACTCTGTTAACGGCGGCATTATGAATGAGTATGCTACTTGCTCTGATTATATTCTTTAGCCCCTAATTAGCTTGTTTATCGACGTGCCTATCTTACTCGTTGCAATACTTCATTGTAGTATGTGTTGTATCGTATGGTATATGGCTTTATGACATGATATATAGTTTTCATGTTGCGCTTTATGTTTTATTAAATCCTTTTTTCCCCTTCTAGGAATTATAATCCTGTGGAGCGAAGGAGTAAGTGTGGAAAGGATAAAAATCTTAAGAGTTCTTCGAAGAGCTCAAAATCACTACAAACGAACGTTGTTAATAATTCTGTTTCAGGCAACACACTCAGACCTAATGGAACCTCTGGTTGGCTTCTTGACATTTGTGATTTTAGATTGTTCTCCATTTTTGTCTGCTTGTTTTACCATGTGCTACTCTATTTGTCATGACTTGCTCTATTCTTGGATGTCTTTTTGACAATAGGGCTCAAGCAACATAGGTCAAGTAGTGCAGCGGGCGTGATTAACTCTTCAGCAGATATTGAAGCTTTGTCCAAGGAGGTCTGCATTCTGAATAATGAGTCCTCTATGCCTGTAACAATTATCACATTGCTGTAAAAGATTCTTCAGGTGTTTTATTTCAATATCCAGTAGAGTCCTTGGACTTGCAGAGCAATCCATCAAAATGTAGCTAATATTTCATTATACGAGAATTGATATTCATACGAGTGATAATGCTCCCCCCCCCCCCCAAAAAAAGGAAAAAAAAAAAAACCCCTTCTCGGCCTAGTTCGCTCAATTTCACTCTCAAACGTTGTATTTATTCTCCTGCATTAATTAACTTTCTTCTGGTGAGTTCATTGCTTATTCCTTTATACTATTTGACAGATAACTGATCTCAAACTCTCTGTGGATGTCCTGGAAAAAGAAAGAGACTTTTACTACGCAAAACTAAGAGACGTAGAAATTCTTTGTCAGACTCCACAACTGGAGAATGCGCCTGTAAGAATTCTAATCGAAGCTTGTGTGGCAGTTTCAGTCATTAATTTTAACTAAGCTTTTCTTTTCCTCATGCTTTTACTGTGCCATGACCTTTTCTAACTTCGTTGACCTATAGTGGGGGCAATATAATGTAATTTGCTAAAAGAATTGCATTGACATATGAACCTTGCAAAATGGTTTTCATAATAATTCATGGTTGGATGGGGCAAGGTCACCCTTAAGTTCTAATCTTCAATGATTCTCTAGTCAAAATCATAATAAAAACGAGTACAAGTTTTAGAGTCCAGAATAACTTCTGTTTCCTACCTACCCAAGCCTGAGACAGGTTTTTGTTTTTTTTTTTGGTTTGCTTGCCCTTTTAATGTACGACAAGAGCTATAACCCCTCCCCATTTCTCTCCCAAACAGTATATATTTTCATTTTTGTGTCGCAAGGGTGTCAAGGTGAGCTTGAGGCGGATTCATAAATGCTGCAAACTTTTTACAGTCTATATATGCAGACAACTAATACCTGCACTCAAGGTTGTTGATCTGGAAAAGCTAAAAAATATGGTTCATCAAGAAGTATATGAACACAAGTGCCTCTAAAAAAATAAACCAAAAAAATTTTAAACTATGAACTGAATGCATTTAAGCAATGGTTACATGGGTTTTGTACAGATGTCTATAGCAATCAAGAAGATTTTGTATGCTGCTGATGCAAAGGAGTCAGCGTTAGATGAAGCTCAGGATTACCTTAATCAAATTTTGGAAGCTGCTCAATCTGAAGAAGAAGAAGCACAAGTGGAAGCAGAAAATGAAGCTTGATTTCTTGCCAAAATGACACCTGGCTGGTATGCGCAAGATATTTGCCAGGCTTCTTGTTGAACAAATTGAAGTAGAGAATTGTAGCCTTATGGTGCCTCTTGCTTCTCCTTGTAAGTGCTTGATATTTCCAATATAGTTTTTCTCATCGTAGGCTTCTTCTATTGAATAAGAATATCTCTAATGATGGCGGCTTGAGGAATGGAGCTGGTCAGCACATCCATAATTATATCTTGTTAATTTAATTGTATCTCTGCCATGCTTTCTGTGTGCATAATGGTGCTTGAAATAATGAAGAATTGTCTGTCAAAAATGGGTGATGCACTTTTCTTGTGAAGTTGGCATTGATATTGAATAATATAGATAAGGGGAGCCAGATCCACTAACAGTGGATTATTGTGCCAACTAAGAGGTATTGATACATTCTGGTCATCTCAGAGTTGTCCCACTCTGTCCAAAGTTGGTTTGATATCAAATCCATTTCTGCTGTATTCAATAAATAATAGAAACATGCCAATCCTGTCGAGATCATCCCCACATGGACATCTGTCTCTCTCCTCTTCTGCTTTCCGTGGATCGTGAATGTTCAGAATTCTATCATATATCTTATTCTTATGGTAAGCCATACAGTTTATCAATACTAAAAATGTTGACTGATAATATGCAATTCCATTATGTGAGGTTCCCAAGAGGCAGGAATTAAATTGACCTGCTCAGTCTGCGTCGAGTCCCTGCTACTACGAAATTCATTCAATAATTTTAATTGGTGGGAGTGGTTTTAATTATGGTTTTTCAGTTCTGTAACTTTCATATAAACGTTAGTATTTTATAATACAAACTCAACGCAAAATAATTTAAACCGCGGACGTTACAAAGAAACGTTTGATTTTTTTTTTTTCCAACGATGGATTATTAATTTCAGCCATCTTCCAAAACACCTATGGCAGTAGATTTGAATTTTAAAAATGATCAATTATCTTGATGATTATGTAGTACCAAATCCTCTAAATAGCTTTGGTTCCCGGATTCCGGATTAATATTATTTGTTCACAAGTACAATGTATTCACTTCAGTTTTATTTGAAAATGACTACATTATATGAAATCCTGTAAATAAACTTTTTTTTTTTAACACTTTGAAACTTCGCAATAAATCTCCCCAAAACTTTATATTTATGCAACTAATTAATCTCAAACTATTAGTTGATACCCTAATGGAAATAATTCATTCGAATTATGAGTTGTATGCAAATAAACACTCTTAAATTTTAAATCATTTGCAGATAAATAATAAACCAGACTAATAGTATGAAAATTATCCGCATAAATATAAAAAATCAAGAAAAATTATTGTGAAGTTTTAGAAGTTAAGGAGATTATTTACACACAGTTCATGAAAGTAAACATAATTCTAGTAACGTTGGAGGAAGCGAAGGGGCACCAGACCGAGAAAAATATTAACCAGCTGCTTTTGAACTTTTATTATTATCTACCACCGTTTTCATGCCCGCCAGACATAACGTACATTACTGAACCCAACATAATTACACGCTGAAAATTTCTAGACAATAGTAAGAACCACCAAAAACTCCAAATTAGTATCACTCAAGTAAAGACGAGAAAATGTCAGTATCATGCTAACATGTACATGGACCCCCTTTCATACAGAAGACAGGCTAAAAGATTGCATTCAGTAGTAGTTAAGGAAAAAGACTCAGTATCCATAACTCTAATCGTACGTCCTATATCCGCCACTCCTAGAATGATCGGCCTGCACAGAGGAGCACAAAAAAGTTATATGCAGAAGATGGGAAGTATAATTCCACCATAAAATATCGAACATACATACCCTGTGAATGAGATTCTCAAATTCTTGTGTTCCATGTTCTTGGATATACTTCTCTGCAGCAGTTAGAATGTCATCTGGTTTACTCAATTGGTCCTTTTTCCCTGGGACGTACCAGATGTTGAGAGTCCGAGGATTGAGAAAGAAAGGCCTCACATAATGCTCATAAACATAGGCAGCACCATTGAAGTAAGGAAGCACCAACCAACAAGTGAGGATCAACTTTGCATATGGCCAGATAGGGATCCTGTCACATAATTGAAGACATATTCAGCAAAAGTCCAGCACTTTTCCTTCTCTAAGCGTACACACTCATTAACAAACCAAGATGAAATTCGAAGGTATTGTTATAGAAGAATTCAACGTGGGCCTTTACTTTATAAATTATACTCAGCTACTCGCATTAGGCTCCTATAATGTCTTTCATGTTAACTACAACCTTTACTTTACTTCTATCCCCTTTTCAAGATTGTAAATGGGTGACATTATATGAAAAACTGCTAAACACAGTGGAAAACTTAGGCATCCATTCTGCCGCTTAATTAGTCAGAAAACCGTAAGAAAGTTGAATTCGCATGCTGAGGAATTACCAATCACAGTGTACACGAAGAAATTGCACTGCACTAGTGCGCTTACAAGTACTAGCTATTCCGGGCCCTAAATCTCAAGATTGTGATAGCTAATGATGCTAGGCTTCCTCCACAGTAAATGAAATATCAGGAAATTGGTGTAGAATTAAGAGGCGTACCATTCAAGGACTTTGAAAAAGGTAAGTTCAAACAGGGTGATCATGGAATACATAATCCAGTAAGTAAGCCATTGCTGGTCATCAACAGGATTCTTGGTCTCAATTGCCTGAATCGAGGCATATCTGCGATTGAACCAAGATCTTCAGCCATTGAAGTAAAGTAAAACAATAGCAAACTCAACTGATTGCAGCAAGTTTCCAAGCAATTCGCTGGTGTGTATATTTATGTGGGAAAAACATGAGGGTAGGCTTAAAATTGTACTTACAGAGGATAAGCAAGACTAACCACAGGCCTGCAAGAGAAGCCCATAAGTATGAGTTAGAAGACAAGCAACCAAAGCACATTGATATGAAGAATGAATCTCCGAGCCCGCAATAAATAAAACTTGATTGCTTGTGCTATTCTGGTAAATTTTCAAGTGTTTAGCCAGTTCCAATAATTATATCACCTCGCCTTCCATAATTCGAGTGACGTTAAAGCAAGAGATCGTATTGCAGAATCTTTGACTCATGAAAAAGAAGGAAGTTAAGGGAATGGAGGGAAAAACCTTACCCAGCAAGAACATCAAAGTTTCTTAGAATAACCTTGAGGAAATTCCCAGCTCCAGATCCCATCTCCGATCTTTCAAAATGACGATTACTTGTAAGCCTCTGTGCGAGCTTGAGTGGGAAAATTAGGGTTTCCTCGAGCCCGATTTCCTTCTGTAATGATGGTCACCAAAAATTCAGAGCGATAACAGAACAGAGAGAGTGTGTGTGACTCTGTGTTGCTTTTGGAGGACGCCGTTTGTCCCCGGCAAAAAAGGCGGTGCAGGGAATTAAGAAAAAAATTTAAAAAAAAATTACAACCACTGAAAAAAAATAATTATTAAAAAATTCTAATAACAATATAAATAGCATATAATAACAAATTTTAAAGTGAAAAATGATAATTTTTGTTTTGTAATTTTTTTCGACATCATGCAATTTGATCTTTAAGTTATTATTAGGTTGATCTTTTTTTTTTTTGGGGTTTTGGGATTACAACAAAATGGGCGTCTGGAATCCTATGTCTGCATAGAATCCAAAGTCAGGAATAGAACACACCCACCGGTGCATGTTTTATTAAGGGGATGTTTGGATAGAAACCAAATCATGATTTCAGAAGTGTTTTTACGGATTACGAAGTAAATATGTAGAGGAGGTTATTTCGTTTTGTGAAAAAGTACTTTTGAAACCACGGTTTTGAGATTGTCAAACACCCCCTAAGTTGATTTTATTAACCTGAGATATAATATATATTGAATAAAAATTAAATTAAAAAATTAAATTTGACATGAGGGTTAATAAATTTAAGATTTTTTTTATCTTTATAAAATGTGTTAAAAATAACTCATAAATAAGATAAAAAACTAATTAATTAAATAAATATGGAAAGAGATTTTATTGTGTGCTTGCCCCGGCAATTTCCTTGAAAGTTAAAACTTATCGTGAATATTACTTCTGATTTTTAATATAAGATCTTATTTGATTTTTATTTTGATCCTAAATATAATATTCTAATTCACTTTATCTCTCATATTTATTCATTTTTTTTTCAAAATACTCCTTCTAATAATGTAGTTCTAGCCAATAAACTTGATTAGTAAGGATATTATAAAAACGAAAACACCTATTTATTATAAATAAAAGCTTTAATTTATTTTTTTAATCTACTTAAATTAGTTGATTGGTTTTTATATTTAGTACAGGAAGTAGTATAATTTTTCTTTACGGAAGATCGGATGGAAATGCTGGAGCACCGTTACACCGTAATCCCGGCGCACCAGATCTTTTTACGGTTTAGTGGGTTTGGTCACCAAAAATGAGCACCTACTATCATTACTTGTCAGATTATAAAACTCTGATATAGTGAAAGGAGCCTTGGTTTTGATCATAATCACGAGAATACCTATTACCGACGTCCTCACGGTTGAACTGTCACTCTCAAGTCTCAAACCAAAACCTCAATGACACGCAGGACAATGTGCACAGAATGTGTTTATAATTTTTTCATGTTTATGAATAATTCTTTTATCGAATGAATGTAATAATTTATTGATAGGCTGGTAAAAAAAAAATTTATTGATAGAATCTCATATTAAACGAAGCTCTTGAATTTTGTTATTCGCGTGAATAAATTCTCTTAACTTCAAATCATGCGTAAGTAATTTCCTTAACGTCATAGTCTTATTGATAAAGTAACGCATTCATCAATGACAAAGATTACTCATGTATAGTCTTCAATCAAAAACTTTATGTTGATATTTTGAAAATTAGCTATCATCCATCTTTGCGACATTCAGTTATTACACAACCGCACAGATCTTTTGAAATGAAAATCCAGGAAATCGTGTAAAGTCTTCAAGATTTGGTGAACTCCCCCCCCCCTCCAGCTTTTCTAAATTTGACGTCATTCCGTTATCTTCAAATTCAGGCAAAAAAAAAAGAAAAAAAACTCACCTTTATGGGATGTAGATAACTCATTTTGAGGCAATCATCCAAACCAACAACAACATAGGTGATCAACTATGATTGCATTTTATGTGAGAGAGGCACTGTGGTATTAGTTATGCTCATCTGGGAATGTACACAGCAAACAAAGCATGAGACGAATCCCACATTATTTTACTGGAAACTCTGTTCCTTGTACATATGTGCCATTATAGTTGGTATTCAGAAATTAGCATGCTTCTGTCATAACTTCATGCTCCTGAGCAGCCTCCAAGTTTGAACTTGCGAATATTCATTCTTCCATTCAGTGCAAGTGCAAGCATATCATATTCCTCTACGTACCAGAGATCCCGCACCACTGCCTGCACCATGAGAAACCAAAATCAGCAGATCCTATGCTATAAAGTGTTTAAGTAACAGAGTAACAGAATGGAGAATGTAAACAGGGACAGACTAGTAATTCCTGCAAAATGCTCAATTTTGTCTTTTTTTATGACCTTTCCAAATTGCCATAGATATGGTAGAATCACAGACCTTGAATCCATGGATCTGATTGTTGAGTTGATTAACTAGCTCATGGAAGATTTGGAGCTCACTTGAGGTTTTATGCTCCTGTTTAATCACAAGAATTGAGAAATAAATAACGTAGTGGAGGGGGTGGGAACTGATAAAATAATACTGCTGAAGTATCTTAATAGTTCAATGCAGGTATGCTGGCATGTGAAGTTATGCAGACAAATATTAACAAGAGGATTAGACTCTATATTTGTTTTTTTTTTTTTTAAATAGGTTTCTCTAAAACATATAACTACTGTTAGGTAACCAACAAATTCATTGATCGCAGATTTAGTTGCAGATGCAACTTTAAAACAGAAGATGCCAAGATGATGACAGCCAGCCTATTAATATATTGGTAAAAAATTCAATAAATGCTGAATTACATATTACCTTAGGCAATGCATTAGGTGGACCCAAAAGCCTTGCAAATGACGTGTAAAGAATCGGAGGATCAAACTGCAGAAGAAAGAAAATGGCAGACCAACAAGCATCACACAGCTAATCAATATTTAGCGGCACAAGTGATTTTAAATCAAGTCAGGAAAAGTTATGGCCCTTAAATTTGAGAATGAAATTCAATAACACAATAAACTGTTAATTTTGAAATCAACCAGTTTGACATAATACAAAGAGGAGACTAATAAGCCCAACAGCTTTATTTCCCGTTCCCTGCTCTTTGCTAATCTTAAAGAGGCAAGATAAAGGAAATGATGAAGCAGATTTTCCTTCAGGGAAGTTGAACTGAGAAGCATTACTGCAACACAGATTGCCTTAAACAAGTGAAAGAGTAAACTAAGTCAGGGGTCTGTATAAATAGCAGGATTCTAAACAGGAATCTCATATTAATGGGATCATAAAGAATACATGGCAATCAAGACTCATGCAGGGCCATGACCCCAATTTCATTTCAATGGGCTTCTGAAATTCAAGCGTAGAAAAAGGTAGTTCTCATTGCTGCATATTAAAATTTTATACGTTCATCTTGATCACAGTGAAAAAAACTAATACAAGGGGGCAATTAAGTGGTGCTTACAAGTTGCTTCTCTGGTGCATGCGGAAGTGCATCTCTCAACTTAGCACGAATGATTGCAGGATCCGTCCCGGAGGTCACCTACAGCAAATGCATACAAATATAATCATGATTTGGAGGGGGGGGGGGGGGGGAATTAACCAACAGAAGGCAAGACTTGAAAGCAACGATGAGGGAAAAAAATCATGATGAAAGCAATAATGCCAAAACTTGCCAGCATTAGTAAACATAACAAGAACATGAATCATACAATGGAAATGCTTGAAAAAAATATAATTCAGTTGTATGTTATTAAGGAGAACTTGTAATCTCATCTTAAAATTTGACTTGACAAGTCTCATATTAAACTGTATTGTGTGTAGGAGAGGGAGGAGAAGGCTTTCAATTATAGAAAGTAACCTGCCAGCAACCCAGAAGAACTCCAGTTGAAGTCAAAACCACCCTATCCAAAACAATATTCAAAGGGCAGAGTGTCCCAGCAACAGCTTGCACAGCAGATGCTTCAGCTTCTATCTGAAAATAAATGATGCTCATGAATCATGAGTTAGGTAATGCAGAGTCAAGAAGAAACAGTGAAATCTGAAGTGAAAATTTACCCCCTCTTCGGTGGCAGGCACAGGTGCAAGATGGTGGGAAGCATGAAACATGCTAAAATGGTACACACTAGAGTTCTGAAACCAGATTGCTAATCGACCCATGAAAGGATGCCAATAAAATGAACAGGATAAGGAGAAGAGTAAAGGAGCAACAAGAGTACGTAAAAACATATAAATCAATTTGTCAATGGGTTGATCCAACTATAGCTTACCTTTATCGAAGTATGGATTGAAAATGCTTTTAGCAGCTTCCCTGTGTCATATAAACCTGGCAAGCGTCAGTTACATGCACTTTTGTGTTTTACCAGGCTTTAGGCATAAATTTTGTAAAGATCTACTTTAAATTTCCATCTCCTTTGATGTTTTCCACTGCAGAAATCTCTCACAAAACCCGCATTAAATGTAAGAAATCAAACCAGATCTTTTCTTGATATTTTCTCCAAGATAAAATGAGCAAGATGTTGTATACTTATAGATGCATTTTAAATTTGCACGAAGCATAAGCTCAAGTTTCCATCACTGGCAATGGTGATATCCTATGCATCCCAAATTTGTTAGTGGTCTGTGTTTTCAAGTTCCAATATATCAGAATAAAAGAATTTCCCAAGCATCCCAACCTTTTTCTTATGTTGCAACTTTTACCATGTAAGGAGTGCGGCATGTTTTAAGTGACTAAGGCATCAAAATAAGATCATCCAATTCAAAATTATTTCCAAATCAGATAGTTATGGGTATGACAGCTCAAAATGAGCAAATACAAAGGCATATAAACATAATCATTAGTAGAACATTAAGAGACTCACGCAATCGGCACAGAGAAGTCAGTGCTCAGCTGCAATACAATAGCCCGCACAGGAGGATTTGCTGGCTGCACACAGCAAATGGCAATTCAACCACTGATCAAGGAATTCAATGACAACAAATTGCATTATTGTGTCACCTTCAGTATAGGTGTTACAGATCCATCCTTTAGAGTGAAGATATCTGAAAGAGACAACGACTGAGAGGTTTCACCATGTTTCAGAAAAGCAGCCCCATGTTCATCCAGATCTCTTGCCATCTTCTCATATAACTTCGATCTTTGCTCCGAGTATGTATTTTGAGAATCTGATTCAGGCACCTCTCAACTTAGTATCAATTCACACTCGTTCTCACTTAGACACACAAAGGGATGCACTCAGATATCCACAGCTCCCCCCCCCCCCCCAAAAAAAAAAACACACAATAGAATCATCCCTCAAAAGGATTAGTGCGTTAAGCAGAAATGTATTGATATTAAGTGTGAAGTTGTGTTAAGAGGGCCAGATAATTAGCAATTTCAGAAATTTAACCTCAATTTAAGAAAACTCTCGCCTCGCCTCAATATGAATGCCACGAGTATCAGAGTTAGGAAACTCCTATTTGCATTCACTGAAATCCATAATATCCAAGAATTTTAATTAGGCTTCTTAAGAAGACTGCGGTCGATCACATAACTACTCCAGTTTCCCGATTTTCAAGTTCATCTTGCCATTATATTATAAAAACAACTCATTACTACACGGAGTGAGAATTTTATAATTCATGCAAAGGGCTGATATCCGTTTGACCCAAAACCAGCCGTCAGCAGAAAAGCAACCGCTGCTTTCGACTAAGGGGTAAAAGTAAGGGCCGAAAAGAAGAGTGAAAAAGACAAAACAAGGATGCTCAATAAGACATCAAAATAATAATTGTTTATTAGATGGATGCACTATTACTTTCTTTTAATAAAATTATCCATTATATGAACTTGTGAGCAGCTTTGTTCGCGGTTCTCTTCTTCCCGCGGCCAAAGCAGAAAATGGAATCGAAGCATATTTTATCCAAAGATGGTAGAAGATAATTACTTATTACCTGAAGAAGTTAACGAAGTGGGATCTGAAGAGTTGTGGAGAGCCATTTGGAAGAGGCAGAAGAAAAAGAAGGCAGAGACGATCCAGATCAAAGCTAACGTTTTGGGATGACACCACCACTTCCCAGTCCTGCGCGTCATAAGTACGAAGCGATGACTCGACTTCCATTTCCATTGTACTTGCCGTCTTGCACACTCCGATCACAGGATCATGTACTGTTCATTATTTACTGTTATACGTCAGATATTACCATTACTACTATCTTTATTTATAAGAGGTAATTAGAGATTAAATTTTGTTAACACATACGTCAAAACTATTTGTTATAATTAATTAATTTAATTAATTTTTTTAATTTTATCAAATTAATTTAATTAATTTTTTTAATCTTATCAAATTAGTTATTTAACTCTTATACCAAGAACATGAGGTAATATATAAAATCAAATAAAGTTTATTATTTAGGTGTCAATTGTAAATTTAAAGATAAATTGACATAATAACGAGTTATTTATGAAAATTTATATGCAAACTTATGTCCAAGTATTTACACAAAGTTTGCATGTCTTATTATTCTTCAGTTACGAGCCGAAACTTTTACTAATTCAGGATTCTTTTTTTCCCGTCATTATAACATAATGGGAAAAATTTTTTAAAAAAAATCTTAAATTTCAAAATTTTAAATCATAAATTATTACAAAAATGTGTTTTTATTTACTTTTCAAATATAGTCAGTTATTATTAAAACATAATAAATAAGACTGATTCAAATTTTAAAATTCAAGAAGTATTTTTTTTAAGATGTTTTCTTAATTGATCTTTGCATTCAAACGAATTTAACTTTTTGACGAGCATAGCTCAAGTTATTTAGATGATTAAACTTGAACCAAGTAAGATAAATATAATTATGATACGTAAAAATTAATAATGTAAGTAATCTTAATAAATAAAAAATCTCCAACTCCCCTCTGCTCCTCATTTTAATTGTTTGCTCAACTTGTGACGGTTTTGGATTTAACATTTTAAAAATAATTTTTCTTATGTTTTAATTACAATTTTAAATTGTTTATGTCAGGTTTTCAAAATTTTATTTAATTTAATTATTTATTCATCATAGTTTTACATGTTCATAATAAATTTATAGAATACTACCTCTAATATTTAATATGAGAATTAATTTGATTTTTATTTTGATTCTAAATATAAGACCTTGATATATTTTATCTATCATATTTATTTATTTATTCTAAAAATTATCATTGTAGTAATGATAGTTCAGGGTAATACACTTGATTAACAAGAATATTTTAAGAAAAACAATACATATTTATTACAAATAACTAACTTAACTAATTTTTTTTAATATACTCAAATTAACTAACTAATTCCTGTATTAAATACCAGAGGTAGTATTAGGTTATAGCTCTTTAAAATTTGATTCAACTACTGAAATGAAAAAATAAAGAGAAGCAGGTTCAAGCAGCAAGATTAGTGTAATTGCCAATTTGCGTCATTCTTCGAACCCTTTTTTTGTTATAAAAAAGTTTAGGTAAGCACATTCTTTGAGGTTCGAAAAATGCTTATAGAAATATTTACAGATTATCTAGCAAAAAAAATTTTATATTAGTAACGAGATTTAAATTTATAATTTTATAAGTTACGAGCTGATTCTTTACTAATTAGATAGTAAAACATTTCAATGAAATTTTGCTTGCAAATCAATTAAGAACCCTAAAGGCCCAAAAGAGAAACATGTTTTCGGCCCAATAGGAGGACGAAGGCAAGCTTAGAGTAAGAATTGTTTTTTCAGAGAAAACTAAGGGTGTGTTTGGGTGACACCCCAAACCATGGTTTGGAGAATAATCTACCCAAACACCCCCTCCAAAAACCAAAATGGTTTTGACTCCAAAACCATGGTTTTGGAAAAAGCAAAATTTTTTTGCTTTTGGAGAAAAAAGGGAAAGTATGAGAGCCTATATGATATATATCTTGTTATTTTTTTTATAAACATATTTTTTTATAAATATATTTAATCTTATATTTTATAAATATATATACACATTAATTAATTATTAATTATATTATCTTATGTATTATTAATTATGTTGGTAAAAAACATATTATTAACAATTTTATTCCTTCAAATTAAAATATATCATAAAATCTATTTTTTCTGTAATTATCATATTAACTTATGTCTTTTTTTTAGTAATTTGTATATATAAAAAGTGCTTCTGATAACAACTATCCAAACACTCTCACTTCTCAGAATCATTTTTTTACAAAATCTATTCTTCACAGAATCTATTTTCTCCAGAATCTATTCTCCAGAATCACTTTTTCAAACCACGGTTTGGTTTCATCCAAATACACCCTAAGTAAATGATCCAAAAGGGCCCATATTTTAGTCCATTAAAAAGGCATCAATAGCAAACATCAAACCCCCCCCCCCAAAAAAAAAAAGAGCTAATAGCCATTTTATGGCCTAAAATAGGAAAAACCATTATACTTTTTGTTGAATTATAGAAATATCGAATGATAAAAACGAAAATGGACTTTTCGTTTACCGTATGTTGCATCCTAATTAACTGTTCGTGAATAACTCTTAGAGGCTAGAGCTAAAGAAATGCCTTTTAAAAACCTTTTTTTAATATGAATATTTTATTAGAAATTAAAAGATAAAAAAATTTTGTTGATAATTTGAAAATCAAAGTTTTTTTAAAAAAATTCCAATTTGCCTTTCTAACATTTTCTTGGCGAGTCTTCCGTTTTGTCCAATAATATCTTATTTTCAAATTAACATTTATCTTACAAACTTTATAAAACATAAATGTCAAAACGTAATAAAACATCATTTGAACTTTGAACACTCGTCATGAAAGCACTTTGCCAATGTTAGAAACACAAGCAAATGAAAGGGGAAGAGCAATAAATTAAAACCAAAATTTTATCTGGTAATGCATGATGAGTTAGATTTCTTTGACTTAGCCCATTCTTTCAGACAAAGTCGTACATTAATTATTCCACTGGCCGTTTTCATAAATGGAATACGACTACACTTCAATAATCAATATGGAAACCCCTGGTCAACAAAAAAAAAAACATGGAAACTTGGGTCAGATTACAACAATACAATTCCAAGCTTTGAGCTTTAATTTTCCCATTCATTTCTCATTAACATACTTCCATATATTCTACCAAAATCATGTTATATAAAATATGCAAACGTCATTTTTTCCCATGATTATTCCGTTACATTCTCATCACCGTATCATTGGAAAATCATTCCCAAATTAGTATTTAACTAGAAAATACTTTTCTGCGAGCCTCCAATTGGCACCTATGCTAAGAATTACTTGCGACGAATAGGAAATAGCGTGATCTTAGTATGAATCCGTGTGTGTATATTCTTGCTCTTGGAAAAAAGATCCAAGAAGGAAGTAAGAATGTGTATTCTGCAGTAATCATGAGGAGGCCTCTTGATGTGTGGAGCCCTCTCTTGAAGCGCATCTTTATATATTGCTGCCAGGAAATTCAATTAAATTTATTGCTTTGAGGGAACATGATACGGACGTATTATTATTACCACGTACTGCTTTATATAATAAACCTTTGTTTTTTCGCAGAATACTATGTCTATGTCTCTAACAAGGTAAAAACCGTTCATGGATCAACCTATACGAAGACAAATATTTAGCCGCTTCTATATACTTCTCATCATCTGTGTCAAGCAGTTACGGACTACTCCACATAGGTCAAAGCCTAACCCATCCATCGCCAACATCAACATGTGAGGAGGGACGTACCGATGTTTCGTTTTGTGTAATGTTTGGTGCGCCCATAGCCATATAGATCAAAACTTATCTGCTCTTTGTTGCCTTTTTTCTGACAGAAAAAAAAGTAGTAAAAGGAGATGGTGACAAGGAATGAAGAAATAATGTTGTTGGTGAATCAATAGAATTTGAGTTTCTGCATCTGCAATTGCAATCAAGTGATTTATAAACTCATATCCAGTAATTGTTATCTCTTTAATGATACAAAATGAACTGTTGAAGACAGAATAAAAACTGTTTGTCGAAAAATTTCATATGATCGGGTAGACCCCAATTGCCACTTTGAATAATGTTTTAGCCATGGGATTCTTGGTTAAAGCTGGCCTGCTCTCAGTCCCCCGTTATGAAATAAGCTAGTAATAAAAGCCTTCAATAACTGTCAGATTTTGAAATGATGTGAATTTGGAATAATGTTGACGAATCTGTGTGCTTTCTTCAAGCAGCTTTATCATCATAATTGTTTCTGAGAGTATACTTTTTAAAGCAGTAAATTCCAACGGGCCATTTTTGTATATATCACTTCAGATCTTCCAACATGTCCATGCAAAGTGCAAACACACACATATGCATAACACACACTTACGAAACACAAAAATATTATTGAAACACCACGTGTTGGTGGGTCTACATCTAATATTGCTTTATGGCGTAACCACCAACCTGTAGGCTAAACGCCAGTAAGGAGGCACATGGTTCTGCATCTCTCTATCTATATCCATCATATAATTCCAGTCTCACTCAATAACCCATATAGCTAGCCGCACAGAACTAATTAAGACAGATTTTATGGGCCCAAATCAGGAATTAAGGCATAATATGGCCCATACTAATAGAATTTGCTGTCTCTTAATCACCACCCATGTATTTATATCTCGTGACAAAATCAAGTTTCCTTGTTCAACTTCCACAGAAATAATTTGGTGGCCTTGGTGGCTGGCTAGATGAGAGATCCCTAATTAATCATGCTATTTTAGGACAATATGGGGACCATTTACTGTGTGTGAAGGACCTTATACTAGATTTCGATCCACGTGAAGCATTTGCTGTCTACAACCTACACAATCATGGTAAGGCTACATTTTCACACACACACATATTCACTGGTGTTGATAATAAATGAGAAAACATGTGGTTTTGTCGCAGAAAAATTATTATCGCGAAGAAAGTCATGTCTACTTTTTACCGTCGGGTTTTGATAATCTCGTGCAAATTAAGTCAAACTCCAAAAGATCAGCACTGTAAGATAAGACTGCGTTTTCATACATCAATAAAAAGGCTTGCTTTTTATTTGTTTCTGTTACTGTCTAATTATTATTATTATATATACGTGGGGTTTTTTTTTTTTTGGCAGAGTTATTACTTACAGTATTCGTTGCTGATATGTGAGACTTGGTTTCTTTTGTCAAGAAATCTTTGGTGTGTTTTTATGGTGTCAGAAAAGAACTTCTGAATGATATATATATATATATATATATCTATATATTTGCTGCCCACGTACAACTGGCAATCATCTTCCATGACCAAATAATGGAGTTGCGTAGATTTTTTTTTTTTTTGTATTGATGAAGTTCAGAGATAACAACAAAACACAACCAAAAACTCTGAAAACTTTATAACCAACTTTAAAAAAATAAAACTAAGCACATACATTCTTTTATAAAAAAAATTGAAGAAAGTACCTATAATAGCCGTTCAGTCCACATTAATTAGCAGATGTCTCTACAGAAATCATTACTTCTGCTGTACTATTCTTTGAATCGGAGATCGAACAAGTTGATGTGTCTTAATGGGAAAAGATGAGAAGAAATGGTCAAAAACTATCAGCTGGTCATTAAAGATGCTTTTATAGATTGGTTTAACCTCGAATTAAAGATAGATGGACCAAATAGGGTTTCCTGTTCAACTAACGTATGGCTTTGCTTAAGTTGTTTAGTTCCTATATAAATTTTATAATCTTGCCTCATATAGGTCTTAAACACTATCTCTGAAGATTTTTCTGTATATAAATTTTAAAAACTTTCTTTCTTTTCTGTGTGAATGAAACTTCTTCAATACATGCGTTATGAATGGCTCTGATTTTTCCCTAGTAAACCCTAAGGTTACTGAAACGTAATATTGTTCATGGCTATTCTTCATAAGAAAATGCTTGAAGCCAATTCCTTCAAGATCAACTGCAAACTCCAAGGGGTGATTTGTTTAATTAGAATTTTATCAACCAGATAATCCATATTTGAACTAGCAAGTGCTTGACGGGATATCTGAAGGAGGTACACTAACTAGCAGCAACATTATTCAACCAGTTTCTAAATACATAATTCAAACTCATCAAACATAGCATAGCATAGCCTAGCCTGTTTGGGAATCTCATCCATGTGTGTATAAATATGCCAGGATTTTTGTGTTGATTCATTAAATCAACTCCAGAGAAGAATATAATCTTCTTACACTATATGTGTGTGCGTGTGTGTGTGTTTGCAGAATCTTATGTCACTGAAAGGGCTATTTGTTAATTAGGTATAGGGCAAGCTAGGTGGGAGGCAGGAGAGGGTCATAATCAGCTCACTGTTTAGTGCCCATAATTGGAAGCTCACTAAGGCACCTTATTCAATTGACCATATTGTCATCAAGTAACAGATTAGATATAAGGTTTGATGATGATTTAAAGAAGCACATTTTCACGGTTGCTTTACACGATCGTATAATTGGCATGATCCCTCCAGAGATAAAGTTATAGCTTTGAACCAAATTGTGCAGACACTAATCATAGTGGAAGCGAATATCCTAAACCTGCTTTTCCCTGGCTCCTAATTTTCTATGCAGCGCATCAATCCTCAGTGTTTCTTTATTTATTTGCATCTACATATATTATTCCAAGAGGGTATATTATTAGATTCCAAAGCATGACCATCTAAGAAAGAAAAAACTGTATATCATCTGGCAAAGGGAATTAAGCCTCACTTGCCAACTGGGTAGCAAGTAAGATAATCGCAATTCGCAGGTCTTTAAAGACGTGTTTGAAGGATGGAGAGAGAGAGGGAGGGAGGGAGGGATTTAAGTAAGAAAGACCATGAAACTCGAGATTCTAAGGGGAGACCCAATCATTCAGTTAGATGGCCCACCGAATGAACGGTTGTGATTGATGGAAACGGTGGGCCTTATTATTCCAGTAGGGTGATCAAGTCTCACCGTGGATCTTTCTGTGATGCCAGCAACTGCTTCATGAAAAGGAGGGAAGAAGGAGAGAAAAAAAAAGGGGGAAAGAAAAGAAAGGGAGAAAAAAACTAATTTTCTTTTTATTTTTTAGAAGAAAGAGAGAATGATCCACCTGTTTGTCAGTGACAATTGTACATTGGTTTGGGCAATAAGCAGCAGCCAGACCCCACCACCTGAGCCGATACCTGGAACCGATAAGGTCATTGACCCCACAGTCCTGTTAATTACCCCTTCATCCCTCTCTCCAAAATCTTAATCATTGACGCAGTAAACCTCCAGCTTCATGCCAAACATTTCTAATCACACTTATCCGAAACTAAACTAACCCCACTCTCTAATTCTAATCCCACTTTTTTTCTCTTCATTATCAGTCCTGCGGTAATACTGTTTCATTTCGTTCACTTCACTGGGCTAATTAACTTAGTTAATTAGTGGCCCAGCAATTAACAGAGCTCGAGAAAAGAAAGCTGGATGTGAAAAACCCACTGCCTCTCAGGGAGGAAACTTTCCGGGAGGATCGTTTTCTTCTTCACTTCGACGTATATATATGGGAAAGCATAGAATTACAGAGTAAAAGGAAGAAAAAGAGGATTGCACAAACAATGATGATGGGATATCGTGTAGTGAAATAAATCATCAAACCAAAAAAAAAAAAAAGGAAAAGAAAAGGCAGCCAAAATACCCAGTTGTTAAATAGTGTCATTCATTCATCCTTCAAACCCTAAAAACCCTCTCTTCTCTCGTCTTCATTCTCTTCCAAAATATTCATCACACCAAAAAATTGATTTTGGAATAAATAAAAACTCAATTTTTGAAGAGCAAATCAAACCTCACGTGTGTTAACACACATCAAACTCTATTACCCCCAGCAAATCGATCCCGCGATCCTCTCTAGGAGCGGTGACTGTTTGTATCATGTCGATCATCGCCGCCTCCTCCTCCCCCACCACCACCCCCACCATGGTGTGATTGAGACCCACTTGCCTGAGACTCCGTAACACCACTCACTGGCCGGTATGGGCTGACGCCGGCAAGCATACTTAAATGTCCCTCATTTATATTCCCAGCTCCGCCGCCACCAATCCCAGACGACCCTAATTGTTGACCAGGCAACAACGCCATAGGAGTAGGGAAGTTCATAAAATGCAACCCACTGGACATGGTAGGGCCTCTATACAGAGCGCTATTGTTCACCGACGGAAATGTCCATATAGGATCCCCGCTCACAACTTGATTATTCGAATTCGCCACCATCCATATATTTGCCGGAATCTGTGCGTGGCTCGTCGTAATCGCCCCCGCGCTCGATTGCAACAAGTAACTTCCCATTTGATATTGCTGTGCTGAAGTAGATGGCGACAACTCTTGCTCCGTCGTTCGCCTTTTCCTCGCCATACTTTCTTCCGCCTCCGTCAAATCCAACGTCGTCGAGGAGGACTGGACACCTCCCTCGCCTCCGCGCAACTCCTGCTTTGCTTGCAACATACTACTGCCGCAGAAACTGTTAGACTGAAAATTCAGAAGCGTTGAGGTGTTGTTGCCATCAGAAGACAAGCCGATTCCGGGGAAGAAGCTTCTCCGCTGCTGAACTGAGAAGTTGGGATTGAAGTAAGACGATCTGAGCTGAGAAGGGACGGACATGGTGGAGCCGGAGCTTCTCAGCGAAATATTAAGCGAAGTGAAATTTGCGGGAATCGTTCCTGTTCCTGTGGCAGCGATGACGGCGGGCTCAGCCTGTTGGAGCAGCCACTCGATGGTTTCCCCATCGGACTTATGGCCGAGCTCGCGGGTGAGCTGGAAGACGCGAGCAGCACACAGAGCGGGCATTCGGATACGGCGACCACGACCGTCGACCTTGGTGTGGCGGTCCTTGGTGGAAGTTCTCTTGGGTGGGGGCTTCTTATTGGAGGGCTCGGAGGAGGAAGAGGTGGGAGGGACGACGTTAAGGAGCTGGTTGGATCGGTTGGAATTGGAGGTGGTGGGTTCGGCGGAGATGGCTAGGGAAGGGTAAGAGGAAGAAGTAGAACAAGAAGCAGGCTCTTGATGATCTTCCTTCTTCTCGAGGAGCCGAAATGGGAAGGTGGGACGGTGATGTTGGTGGTGGTGGTGGTGGAGTTCATCACCACCCTCCATGATCGCATAAGAGAGGAAGATTAAAGTTGAATTTGTAAGGGAGTGTGTGGTGGGTCTGGTGTCATGAGCGGTGGGTATAGGATGAAGGAAGAAGGTTGTGATTTGGTTTCTTTCTTTTGTAGAAGCGAAAGGGATATAATTTGCTTCAAAATTGATGAGGGGAAGGAGCTTTAAGCAACAAAGATAATGAGTGGGAATTATATGGGTGAGCTTTAAAAAGCTTTTTTTTTTATATTTTAGCTTAAAAATATTTGAAGTAAATGAGGGGAAGGAGGGAATTAAAGAAAAAAGAAACCGGGGGGATTTTTGGGAGTTGGCTTTTTTGATTGTGGGTGGACAGGCGTCTTTGGTTCAGAGTCCACGTGAGGTGCTCTTTATATCATTCAATCCATAAAGACGATGGGCGTGGGCCCCAATCCCAAGTCAAAAAAATAAAAATTTAGACAGAAATCGTGGGTCCCCTCTCATTCAAGTAATCATTTCCTTTTGCCTTTGCTGGGGGATCCAGCTTTGGGATCCCCTCTTCAACCCTTCAACTTCATCCCTCAAATCTGAATGCTACAAACTTGTGCGCAAGTTTTACGTTATTACTATGTAACCCAGTAACCTCACGTACGTTCATTAATTAATAACACCGACTTACTCTAAATAATCTAATACTACTCTATATATGTTAGATATCAACACATGAATGTTATAGGATGGATTTTATATATATATATAATATTCTCCACAGAAGCCAATGAATGAAGATGTTGGGCTTTATTTCCAGGGAAAGAAGGGACAAGAAGATGTGGATATGTGAGAATATGGGGAATCCTCGCACTTACTCAATCACTGTATACTATCGTGGCTTGTATAAGTTGCTCCGTCCCAGGACCACCACCTCCTCCACCACCAAACTGATTGAAATAGGTCGTAGAAGTTTCAGTCTTTAGAGTGAGCCCAATTATTATTATTATTATTACTGTTACTATTACGATCATCGTCATCATAATAATCTGAGAGCATTTTCACTTCCTTTTTAACTACGACTGTACTCTATTCTAGGACGACAGCCATGTGAGAGCCAAAGTCTGTAGGAGGAGTCGTTTTCTTTGGCATTTATGAAAAAGAGGTAAGTTTAATCGGTGACTTTGAATTAATTAGTTAAATTTGCGTGACTGTAATTGAAATTCATGGATCAAATAAAATCAAAGAGAGGAGAGTGAAAACGTCGGAGTCGTACTTTTTGGTTCGTGTTAAATGGTGGAGTAGTAGGTTTTGGTCCCGTTGTTGTCACATGCAGAGGTGCAGAAGTAGCCAATGAATGAGGACAAATCGAAGAACACACACATATAAATATATCTAAGGTCAACAAATATTTGTCCACCCATTAGTTGTTTTGCTTATATGAGCCATCATTTACCTGTAGGCAAAAGTAAACAGTGGAATCATCATTATTCAACGCAAAATCCAATTAACCCCCCATGCAATGTATAGATTCTACCTTTCTTTCTTTCCTTTCTTTTGTTTTTTCAACTGTAATTTGTCGTCACGTAATTCCACTTTGTTTGACCCCAGCCCCAAAGTACCGACTAAAATATTCCCCCAATTAGAACACCTTTCTACGTGCGCCTTATGACCCCATCTCATGCCCAGGCCATTATATTAACTAATCTTTTTCAAATCTCGCGCTCATTGTTCCCTTTCAACTCATAATAATTGTCCGTAAAATGTAAAATTTCGCTACAGTATATATATAATAATAATCTTCCCCCCCCCCCAAAAGAAAAGATAAGCTCCCTGCAGAACTGCTTGTTTGTTTCAAAAAGAGTATCACTCCTCTCTCGAGATTAAGAATAATAAATAAGGAAAAAGAAAGCTGACTTGATCGATGAATGGGAGATTGAATAGAACTGCATCAAACAGAACTTGTATCAGCATTATTTGAGTATATTGGACAAAACAGGTTTTATATATATATATATATATATAGAGAGAGAGAGAGAGAGAGGTTAGGGGTGTAATTAATTAATGACTAAGTTATATATAAGCAGAAGAGAATGAATTAGGCGATAATAAGAAGAAATTAATTAAATGCTGTGTGAAAGAGTGTGAGGGTGTTTCCCGTGGATGAGGGCAAAGTGGACCAGACAGATATTAAGCGATGCTGCCTTTTCTTCAGACCACATGCTCTTGCTACTTTTATGTATGTCATATTGAACAAGACAGCTTACCCTCCCCATCTGTATATCAGTTATTTTCTGTAATTTCCTTCGTTTCATTCGTATTCGACAATTCATGTTTGGTCCCACGCATTCAAGTTCATTTAATTAGTTTCCTTCTTTTACTTCAATTACAGATCCATCCAATCACAGTTTTTGTTCATAGGCATATCAGTTTCACAATGCTTGGTTATACATATATATTACGGGTTTCATTAGAGTGTGTAAACTGTATAGACTAATCGGCTTTGATGAAGACATATTTACAAGAAGAGAGAGAGAGAAAGAGAAAGTGATCATAAGGATTTGTGGGGAGAGATGAAAGACAGTGACAGTAGAAAAAGATAAGTTGGCATTTGTGTTTGGTGTTTCCTGTCATACACTTTGAGGACTCTGATTCCCCACTGTTTACTCACCCCCTCCCCCAAAATATACAAACCCTCTCTTTACTTCTCCTTTAATTTGTTACCAGTACGTCCCACTATTCTTCCAAACACAGCATTAATTCCTCCTTCCCCCCTCTTAACTATCTTCTTTCATTCTAAATATAAAAGTTTTGATTTGATCCTGAATAGAAGATCTACTAATTGCTTCTTTCCTGTGATGTGATACTGCTATTGGGATATTTTTATCTCTGCATGTTAAATTCTAGAAATTAAACAATAGGGGTGGATATCGCTCAGTGGGTGATCATGTTAATTAATTCATTGTAGTTCAAACATGCTGTTCTTAAGCCATAAGCTAATGCATTTAAAACAAGTTTACTTCAAATTTTAAGGTGAACATGAGGGTTATGAGTAAATATAGAAGCATGAATGCGAAGCCTTGGCCTCGTATATATTGACGAACAGGTTATTACAATGTTCGCTTACTCTTTAGTTTCCTTCAAATTAAAACGAATATGAATTGTTAATTCATCAAATATACATATAAATATCAAATATACTACTGCATGTAATAGAATTAACTGACATATTCGTTTTCATCCTTGGGTAGCTGCGGCCTGCGGCTCGCATTTCGTTTTAGATTCTCAAGTTAAACCTTAACCGATGACTTTTTTTTTTTTGGGTTGGAAAAGTAAATCATATCACAAGAGAACAAAGATTAGAAGGTAGAAAAAACAAACAAATTCATTCAATAAGAGAAAGTTATTAGAAATGGAATTTTTTTTTAGGAAAAAAAATTAACAATAGGAAAATATAAAAGAGGAATGGTTGTGGAGGAGGGAGGGTTCCATCACTTTCTTTGAAAGATTTTTGCCTGCCGCTACTACTCCGGACTTTCATGAAAAGTAGAGCCCAGTGAATCCAGCAGGGGTATATCTGTAAAACCCCTTCCTGCCTCCTCATTTCCCCACTTCCCCTGTTGCCGCGTGCCTCTCACTCCCCGCCCCCATTCTATTCTTGGTAATAAATTTGGCAACATACACCACATAAAATCTCATACGCGAAGAGTTCAAATTAGTACTCATCATGTTGTTTAGAATTTTCAGAATCTGCGTTATTTTATAATGTGTTGTTACTTTTAATTCTTAATATAAGAGTTAGTTAATTAATTTGAGTAGATTAAAAAAATAGTTAAGTTAATTATTTATAACAAATAAGTATTGTTTTTTTAAAGTTTTTTTATTAATTAAATATAGTGGTTAAAACTAATATCCTTACAAGAATTATCTTATAAAAATAAATAAATATGAAAAAAAATAAATTGAGATCTTGTATTTAAAACAAAATAAAAATCAAACAAACTCTCATATATTAAGAACTAGAAATAATACATATCTACATATATATATCCATGAATAGTAAGAGTTTCTTCTGGCTGCGGAGAGAGATAATACTGGGAATTATTGAATGCATCGTGGAATAAGTTCAAAGGGTCCACGTAAGCACGTATCCTATCCAAGGGAGTATAGAGAAGTCCAATCAATAAACAACACACCAGCATCACATATTCTCCTATATATCTTCTCTTCCCTGCACAGATAATTTAGATCTAGTGTGATCTGGTATTTTTCATAAATTAATTAATTAACGGTTGGTGCATCAGCTCCTCTTGCAAAAAATACTCTTACTTGAATGTATTTTTAAATTTTCTTTTAGCTATTGGTTAATTTACATGTTAATTGCAAAATACCAGGTAGATATGTTTCATAATTGAGCATTAAAAACATTACATATAATATCTAGTGGATTAGCATCGCAAACTCAATCAGGCTAAAGATTAAATTGCATGGCCTTTTACATTTAAAATTCGCCAAAATGATTGTTTGTTTGTTTCTTTACTCGCATAAGCTTTAAGTCAAATCGATCAATCAAATTGCTATTGAAATAATTTTCTCTGTCAATCAAGTTGCTATGAACTTTTGCTAGTTTTCACAACTTTATTTTCTTTATATTTTCAAGTTGATTTACATCTCAATCTAATATTTTAAATATCTACCTATGGAGTTATCATTTATCAGCCATGTGCGACACTATCTTGTTAAGATTTGAACCTGGCTTGCCCAATTTGATGATTCATAGAATCAATCAAACGAATTAAAATATCACATAAGAGACATTTTAATTTAAATAATGTATTTTAAAATTCAAATCAAAAGAATAATCAAGATTTGAAACTAATTAAAAATCACGAACGTTAACCTTCAAGTTTAAAAGCGAGATATGAGATGATCGAAACTGGATTATTATCTCATGTTCATGCATCATAAAAGCAAGAAGAACAGGAACTCATTTTGGCTCTTTCTCATACAAATCATTAATATAATTACAGATCTTTCTTTCGGAAATTAATATTTAATTTGTTGAGAATAATTATTACAGGAGGGGGTGGTGTGGCTACACCAATCGTATGTGATTTGCCAGTGATTGTTATAATGAATACCCGTAATGATAGTGTTAGTGATATCCATAGTGGCTATCATAACAAGATATTATAATTAATGATGGCATTAATTAATTAATTACTTCACGAGGATACAAAACTTATATAAAGTTTGTGGCTACAAGATAGTCATCGTTTTCATGCACCTTTACTTTCTCTGATCCTCTTTTTCATTCATTATATTTATATATTATATATTCCTCTTAATGATATATATGACACTTCTTTTTTTGAACCAAAGACAAAATGACATTCCTAATAAAAGTACTTACAAGTTACAAACACTTAACAATCCTATTTTGGCAGAATTCAAATTAAGAAAACAAGATTTAGAGATAACATCAATACCGATAGATGAGAAATTATGGGCAAGAGCAAGAATTTCTTCCCAGGTGATGTTCAGGAGAAAGGCATCATTGGGATGAATCTGAAGAAATCATTTTTCAATACGCTGAACCAGAACAAGGGGCTTGCCAGCAGTGATTTGTATGTTGGAATTACAGATCCAAGATAAAGCTACCGTAAGCATTTACAGTGGAAAGTAGAATCTGTGGAAGCTTGATTTTGCCATAGGATTTTCTTAAATGACGTCCCCTCGAGGCAAATAATACCGTGGGAATAATATTTTCTCATTCTTGTGTATTTAAATAGCAGGACATTCCACCCATTTTTATTCAGAATCAAACAAGAGCGTTCATGGGGAGGGCTCTGATTAGAAGAGCAGGAAGATCTGAAGTTATCAAAAGCGTATTCTGAGAAAGAAATTGATATTCTTGATTTCCCGTATAACAGTAACAGGATGATTTCTTTTCCCTTTATCAAGTATTTTGTTATTAAGTAAGCATGTTAACCCATGAGTGAGATAATTCAAACCTTCCTTGTTCAATTCCATCAGTGAAGACATGAACCAATTCCTAAATTTCTCAAAAGAAAAGGTAGGAATTTTAACAGAAAAACATTCGAATCAGATAGCTCTAGAGAAGACAAGAGATATATATGACATTATCATCAGCATGATTTACTAGAATTAAGAAAAATAGTAAACCCTACTAAAATTGTACAGAGAATAATTATTTATAAGTAAAATTATACAGCTCATACAATAAATTAAATGAGATAATTTGTATTGAGAATAATAAAAATATTCTTTCATTATTATCTTATAAATGGAATCAAAGGGCTATAATAACTACAGATATGTCTCCAATTGTTTGAATTTAAATGTGGCGTAACACTAGCTAGAGAGGGGAATGGGAATAGAGACACACTAAAACGAAAGAGGAAAAGTTGATTGAAAGCAGCATATCGAAGTGAGCATATAGGGAATATCTTAGGCAGAAAAAGGGCATAAAGATGAAACACTGTACAAGATATTGGATCCGATGCATCGATCGCGGAATCAACAAATAAAGGGGATTCATATATAGATATGTAGATTAATAGCAAACAAACAACACCCTAGAATACTAATTCATGGTTATTGAAATATTATATATATATATGTATACACAGATGAGAAATTAAAAAATAAAACGTCTTGTACGTGCCACTTTCATAGTGCTCATATAAGATAGGATCTGATTTTTTTCCGTGTATTTGCGATCACTTTATTCTTTACACGGATGATTTTCTAAGTGGCCCTTCTTATTTATTTGTTTGTTTGCTTCAGTTTTGTTGTTTATGGAATAAGTTATAAGGGTTTGAGTGGGGTAAAATTGAAGAAGGCAGGGAAGGGGAAAGGAAAAACAAAAAAGTGGTGAATAAGAGGGGTCAACAGAAGAGGCACGTGTTTACTGTCTTACACATGATGACGAAGAGCGATGCCTACGAGTTACGACGTCCCAAGTACATACACTGAATAATGAATACGCCATCTACTCTCTCTCTCTCTGGAAAAAAAAAGCTGCTGGAGAAAGAGGCTTGGCTAAGAGCTCCACTTTCACAGGGATGATTGGGTTTTTTGAGCTTCTTTTTCAGAGGCGCTATTTGTAATTTCAAAAGAATGTCTTGTGTCTCTCCCCCCAAGGCACCCACTGCTCTGTTTGTTTTGTTGCATTAGCATTCATCGGAAAACTAACTCCAAAGAGGAACCATCTAGGGAGAGGAGATCCTTAAATTCATTTTATATTTTGTGTCATTGGTCTCCTACGATGTAGGAAAGCTTGCTTAATCAGGAAACATTAAAATTAGCAGAAACATTGAGATTTGAGACATGAGGCAAACAGATACCTTAGCTAGCTTTGTGCCCTTTTTTGTGCACTGATGTTGACTTCAGAACATGTTATATTTTTCACTCCCCACATACTACAAACTACATAAATATTGGTCTACTTCAATATGCCGGCGAGATATTTTTAATCTGAAAACTCCATTTGATTATTTTCATGGCTTTTTCTGCAATTTCCAAGCTGTGTAATGAGTGGGTCGTCTATGTTCCCCCTTTTTCTTCTGTATATCTGTTCTAGCGATTGCAACGAGACTGTTCTTGAAAATCTGATAATTTGCAGTAGTTAAAGTAGTTTAATTTCTACAAATGATAAGTCGGTGGGTAATTAATTCAGATTATGAATTTATTTATCTTTTCCATTGTCCTTTTTGGATGAAGTGATGTTAATACTAGGAGAGATGGATCATCATGGTCCCGGAAAAAAGGGGTTGAAGATTGGAAGCAAACTGAAATAATAGGGTTGACTGGAGATGGGGGGGTAGAGTCATATCTGAAGAGAACAATGGGAACTATAGAAATGATACATAATATCAGCAAACATACTCCTAAACCACCGACCAACCAGAAAAGGTTATAAATTCTTTTGTTATTTTAGGCTTTCTATTTGAGCTGGCCCCCTCAAATCAAGGACAGCTAGCTTGTAAAGGACTTAACGTTGAAAGCAATTGTCTGTCTAATATGGATGGATTTAAGCTAGTCCTTTACAATTAGCACACAACTGTATTTAAGAAATATAAAAGAAATATGTCCACGCTCTCATTCTTTTTATTATTGTAAACTATTTGAATTCATTCAATATTAATATCACCAAATTCACGAAAGCTGTCAAATGAGATCATCCCCACGGTTCGACCTGAGCTTGCCGTATGATTCTGAAAAAGCCATTTGGTTGGAACTCGGAAACTGGCGAAGGAAGCCCATATGTTGTCTTAGCCCGCAGTGTTGCAGCGAAAGCATATTATAATTTTAAAAAATTCTCAAATAATACTACTATTTTAAATTAAATTATTTTTAAAAAAAAGTTGAATTAAAAAAACTTCATTTGACAAATTCTTGTTAACATTAAAAAATTTAATGTCAATTTTTTATTAATAAAATTAATAATATTAAATTACAGTACTGAAATGATGCTTTATAAAATTAAACAATCAAATAAAAATATCATTAAATAAATTTAGAAAAAATGCCCACTCACAAAACTCGGACACATACGTGGGGAAGGTATGTGGTCCAATCACCAATGTCCAGTCCATTGTAACCCCTTTTTGATTTCTAAGCATTTGGGCTCGACCCAATTTAGCTGAGCGGGGCCGAGTTCATATTCTCTCGTGAATCTATGAGAAAGAAGAGGGTGAGATGGGAATTTGGGAATTTTATGTAGCCAAAAAAAAAGAAAGGGAGTTTTAATTATTTCATTAAATGCTTTAACTGATTATGCGCGAATGAAAAACTATTCTCAGCTTTTACGCAAAAGACTTTCATATAAATCTTAAATGAGGTTTCAAATCCAAATTACTTCTACTTTTGAAATGTATACCAAAAAGACTTTTAGGATGTCAAAAGCTTTATCCAAACCAGTACATTGGTCAATGTTCTAAGGACAAGGCAAAAATCAAAAGAGAAATTCACTTTCACATCTATTGGAATTAAATGCAAATGTCACTTGACATCTAACACATTAAGGCAATAAGCAAAATGAAGCCAAACCCAGCTCCAATCCAACCTAAGAATCAAAAACTGTAGACACTTCAAAGATCTTGAAACAAACCTGATGACTAATATCTATAGACCCTCAAGAAATGGCCATGGACAATTCTATGTCCTGGCTCCTCTTGCTTGTGATGAACAAGTAAGCTCTCATTGTGGAACCATGCATTCTTTTATTTGAGCCATCACCATAGTGATGGAGGGCTCAATTGTCACCTACAACCCAATACTGTTTCACAGCAAACAGCACCTTCTCTGAAACATGAGGGCCATCCTCATGATCTACCATCTGGGCATTCCATCTCATCCCTTTCACTAGTTTTCTCACTTGTATTAGCACATTCACATTATCTCTGAATATTACTGCTCCTTCTGGCCTTAGTATGCGGTCCATCTCTAGCAATATCTCTTCTGCACTGCACCTGTATTCACCATCTCAGTCAGAAAAGAAAAAGCCCCATTTTGTTTATTCATCATGAAAGACATCAATTCATCGTAATATTTAAAAGGTTCCTACTTATCCTTGTACAAGCTGAAAACGCCATTTGCATGGATAAGATCATATGTTCTTGGATATGTGGAGAAGGCTTCACACCTAGCAGAAACACCAAAAGAGAAGTTTGTATGATTTGATCTGTGTATAAACATTACATTGTTGATTGAAAGTGAGTGTGTGTGTGTGTGTGTGTAGCCATTTCATGTATAAACTCACCAATCATGATAAATGCCAATCAATCCACGCTCAAATATAACGCCCAGGGTATCTTTCTCAGCAATTGTAGGGACAACGTTCATGACCCACAATTTGGGAGATTCAAGGGCAGCAGCAAAACTTCCTAGGCCAGCGTTCATGTCCATGATGTTTCTATACCTACCTGAGTCAATGATTTTATTAATTTGTTTGTAAGCCTGAACATGCTTCTTCCATATTCTTTTGTCTTCATTGTACATTTCCACAGATACACCATCAAGTGACCCACTGGATATTCTGGCAGGAACAGCATTGAGCCTCTCTGGGAATGGCTTCCACGAATCACTGCCTTTAGGAGAAGGAGTCACACACTTCTCCATCGTCTTGTACCTAGAGGCAGTGACAGAAATTTCAGAAAAAATATTTAGAATTCGTAGATCTTTAAAAAGCGTAAGCATCTTACCAGACATCGGGTGAAGATTCACATATTGTTGGCTGAGAACTTTGTCGACGACACTCATCAGAATTTAGTCTCTTTCTCCATATAGCAATTTCACCCATTTCGTGTTTCTTTTCCCAGCAGAGAAGTTTAGCCATTTCTTCAATCTTCCTCTGCTCCTCTTCAAGTTCTTCTGCAGGACGCTGCCATGCTTGATGGTTATTCTTCCAGTTTATTGGAGGACCAGAAAGAACCCAGTAACCACCGGGCCTAAGAACTCGATCCACTTCCATCATGTACATTCCATCTGTCCATTTTTTTTTAATCCAACTATCACAATCTAAATGGAATTTTCAAAACAAAAATGGCAACTAGCAAAAAAAAAAATCATAATTATTTGATCGCACCATTTCCACCCCATGGAATCAAACACCTGGAACAGTGAGCCATGTCATATGATCCAGCAGGGAAAGGTAGCTTTATGGTTCCTATAACTCCAATGATCGCCGGAACACCTCTTTCCAAAGCAAATTGAACTTGCGCTTCATGAGAGTCCCTAGGTGCAATTGACATCGTAATCACATTCTTCTTAAACAAGTACGCACCCAAACTAGCAACCTACGAAAACGCCACCATCATTCATCAGTAAATAAGCTATAAACATGCACAGAATATTTGGTGTGCGAGGTTTTCACCCTCAGATCTCATGTCGGAGAATAAACGAGGTAACAGTAAACGTGCAACATGCATAAGATTTGATGAAAATGAGGATGTTTATTTATGATGTTTGTACTTACCCCACAACCAGTATCTAGAGCAGTTCTAACCATGCCATTGGAAATGGGTATGACAGAAACAAGTTTATCAATATACGCATCGGCTCCTTCAGGAAACTGCGTTCCTCCACCGGGAAACCTGAACACGTTACCTTCATACTGAATCCAATTCTGCACAGCCTTCTCAATCGTGAGGCTCTTATAAGGCGCATTGGCATACGGCACATAATCACGACTCTTAGGCCATGGAAACGGCGTCGCATATCCTTTGGGTGCAGGTATGAGACAATGAAGCTTTTCTTCTGGAGGGTAGCAATGCCTTTCTCTGTAATTCATGTTCTCTCGCGGGAATGTCATGGCTCGAGTTTGATCATGACAGGGCGTGAAATCACTATAACGATCCTCACAGGGCTCGAACTTTTTGATGGCTGTTTCAGAATCATCTGCGGGTATGGTAGTCGACGACGCAGCAGTATCACGATGGGTCTCGTAATTTAAGTCAGGGATAATGGTGCAATCTGTGTGTTCGGTAATCTCGGCGGCTATACGGTCTCCTTTTCCAGAACCACCTCGTCGCCATGCACCGAATAAAAAGAAGCAACCACATAAGCCAGCGATGATCAGAATCTGCATAGTATTCCCTTGGTTTCTGTTGTCTTTCGTGTTCTCTTTCGTCGCCATGATCGATATATGTTTCTATAATCTTCCTATCGAAACTGTAGTACAGATCGCTGCATATAACGATCAATGCGTAAATAAATCGACATGAAATGGCATGAAAACGATCAAAGGGTAGCAGGGTTTGGGAAGACTTACTGATCTGAGATTGAGGAATATCATCAAAAGAGAGTGAGGATGTTGATGATGTTGGGAGGGAATGAATCCATGGAAAGGGGAGGTTGGGTGAGCAAGTGTTTATGTTGGTTTTGACCCGTGTTTCATGCACTTAGTGGAAACCGAGGTGATTTTGCGACATGTACGAAGACACGAACTTGTCTCATTGTGAAATGTGGGTCCTTTTCGCTATTCCTCTCTCTTCCCTTTATTGGTATGCAAGTTTGTTCGGGTAGTTAACTTTGGCATTTCCTCAATCAAATCACAGTCCTCCATTTCATATCTGTTGGAACTAATTATGAACAAATTCAATTTTAATTACAAGTAAAGTTTTATTCCGAAATTGTGTTTTAGAACTCTATGAACTAATTGTCACTTCACAAATCTTTGATTTACAGCAATTAACAGAGTATGTGGGGGAAAAAACAGAGACTTTGAGTCTGAATGAAAAATTCTAACTTTAAATAGTGAGACTCGGATTATATTTTCTTTTTTTTCTTCTAAAGAAACAAATTGATTAAAAATCCCAAACATTGCGGATTAGATAGACCAACCCAGCCATCTCCACGTTGACAAAGAAAAAAGTAACAATTTTTGTAATTATTTAAGTTTAGAGGTATATGGCATTCCACTTGTTCGCTGCTTGGTCGAGAAGCCTATCTTTGATTCAATGTGGCTTTATTAATTCATGACTTGATCCTTTAATTAATGAAGCTGTTGGTTTACTGCCTCCTTGGTGGCTTGGTCTACCAAATCTTCTTCTGGATAACCTAACATTCTTTACCTTTGAAAATTACGTCGAGCTCATTACTTCTGGCCTTCTCAACTCTGTCCCTTGCTGCTTTCAGTCATTTCCGAAGTTACATTCTCGTCACACCCTTCTTTCTACTCTACACCAAATCTCGAGTAATTTTGCCCATTCCTAACACCCTTATCGGTCACATGGCATCACCTTGTTCTAAAGCTAGGTTTCAAGGACGAGTTAAGGATTTTCACCCTGTTCATTGATCAGAGCTTCTAATAATGTCTCTGTTATACGAGAAGGAAAATCTAGTTGGACTTACTCTTGACAGCAATGTGAACACAGCTAGGACTTGTAAAGAATGTATTCTCTGATTTTGCCATTGCGGTCCTGGAACCTAACTTGAAGCTTACTGCCACAAGATAAGTCATGTTTTGGGATTTAATTTCATGGAACACGGTGAGAGCAAAGTTTGTTTAGAGAGAAACCATGGCTAACAATATAATGGGATAGAGTATCCTGGATCAGCATGGTTTATGTGGCTTCTGCTGACTATGGGTAAAGGTGGGTGGCTTACGGGGATGCAAAATTCCTGGGGAACAGAGACGACTCTGCCACTTGGCATAGTGCTGATCAATGGGTATTTTAGATGTGGATCGGCAGAGTCTGCAAGGAAGGTCTTTTAGGAATTGCCAGAGAAAAATATGTTTGAAATTTGTTTTAAAAAACTAAAAACAGAAAACAAGTTTTAGATGTTTTTTAATTTTTAGTTATGGACTTCATCAGGCACAACCCTTCTCCTGGATCGACAGTTTTTCTCCGCGCTCGATGGCTTGAAGCTTCACTCTCCAGTCTCGGTGCTCACAGTCTCCTCACTCGCTCGTTGTCTCCAGTGCGCTCGTTGTCTCCTTACTCCTCTCTACATCGTTGCATCCTTCCTCACTCCCTCGACGTCTCCAATCTCTCCTTCCTCCCGCTTCAATCCTCAGTGGGAGAGTCCTCTGTCTATACTCTCTTTACCTAACTGATTAATTTAGTCAGTGGGTCTTGGCCTTGAAGGAGCTCAGCTTCATGGGAGAGGTGTGAAATCGGGTCTTGAAAATGATGGGTTTATTCGTAGTTGTCTGGTACGCATGTGTGCGAAGAGTGGGCTCTTGAGTGAAGCGAGGAGAGGGTTTGGTGGTATCTTGAAATTTGACGCTGTAGCTTGGAACTCTGTGACCACGGGCCTTTCTAAATGTGAAGAAACGATTTGCATAACTACGAGCATCCGTGCTCGTCAAATCTGAACGGTTCAGATTTTATTTTATTTTTATTTTTATTTTTTTAAAATAATTATTTTAATAGGTATAGGATGAAAATAAAGATAATATATATCTTAACTATTATTTTTTAAAATATAATTTTTTTTATTTTTAAATAATTATTTAAAAATATTAAATCTGGACGGTCCAGATTATTCATCAGGTGATGAGTATCAGGTGCTCATTATCTGGTGGGTACTGAATGTGGACGCGTGAAGAAATTGGAGAGCCAACAACCTGCTTGATAAAATGCTTACATTGGCTCCTTGAGCAAGTTAGTGCAAAGTTTCATATTTCAGGCTCGCAGATGTGAGAGGGAATACTTATCGTGATGAAGGAATTTTTTCCCCCCCTCATCAAGGCTCTTCTTTTTTTTTTTGTCACAAAATTTGTACAATCCTTAATCATATGCTTGTTTCATGTTTTCAATTCTACAGTTGATTGATTTTGTCAAGTATCTTGGTGTATATTCGGGTTTACATTTGCAGCATAAAAGTTGTGTTCAGGTTGGGACTCAATCTTAGTTTTTTTTTTTTTTTACACATTTAGAGTTATCGATTTGAATTCCTCTCTGCATTAAGAGTTGTAAAAAATACTTTAGACTCTGTTGAACAAACTGGCATCAGCTAATTAAGCCAGTCTTGTGAGTTGGTCATTCCCTTGTAATAAGTTATTCTGAGCCATTTTCAGATGAGTGTGAGAAGCATAACACTAATTTAAACTTCTGCTAAGATATGGTTGACTCATCACAATTCTTTCGCTTTGGAACTCTTCGCAATTCTACAATTAGATGTTGTTTTGGAGATTTTATTTTAAACAATGTCCATTTAAAATTTGACCATGTTATTTTTGTTAGGAGTAAATTATTTTTATATTATTTATTGACCATTTTATTTTATTTTTTATTAAATTAGTTTATCAATATAATAACATAGGAGTATTAAGTAATTATAAAAAGATAATGTCAATAATAATCATATAAAATAAATGAATCTAATAATTCTTTTTCTTTTTTTTAATTTAACTCGATTTTAAAAAATTTTCTAAACAAGTTTATTTTTGTTCTTAAATATAATTTTTTAAAACAATCATTCAAACAGAATTTTTCCCCCCTCAAAACTTATTTTTAAAAATAATTTGATAAAACTGTTTTTAAAAAACAAAAAACAAACCCGAAGAAGCCCGATATTATTTTCGTTCTTGATTCTATGATTTATGGCTTTGTTGAATGTGAACACAATCAGTGGAGAATGTGATTCTTGATAACACTATCTTCAACTCTTAAAGTTATTTAACTAATTTAAGTAAATTAAAAAAATTAGTTAAGTTAATTATTTGTAATGAATATATATTATCTTTTCTAAAATATCTTTACTTATCATATGAATCTCTAATATGTACAACTATTACAAAAATTATTTTTAAAAAAATAAATAAATAAGAAATATAAATAAATTAGAATTTTATATTTAATTCTAAATTAAATATTAAATTAACTCTTGTATTAAAAAAAAAGAGTAAATATCATAGTGTACGACAACACTGGGAATATTTGCCATTGACTGATATTCATTCTTATATACAGGTTAATGCTCATTCTCTGATAGCTAATTATGCATGTATAATTAAAATTAATAATTGATGACTATATTTCGTAAAACCGAAATATATAATGATAATGTAAATTTGCATATAGGCGTGTCTAACTGTAAAACGACTGTGTTTAGCCTCCCTCTCCAGTCTATCCTCTCCCGCCGGCGATCTCCGCCTCGCCCGCAATCCTGAAGTCACTCCTCCCTCACTCGTCAGTTTCACACTCTCGACGCCGTCGCTGTTCCGTCACAAGGTAAAAGGTTGTCGCCGCCACCGCGCTATCTCCCTCGCATTCATGCGGCTGCTATTCTCTCCCTCAGACTCCTCCTCGCCGTCTCAGGCTTGCAGGCAGTGTCGCTTTCTCCATTGTCCGTCGGACTCTTCCATGCCCTTCTCCGACACTCTCTCCCTCATCGTTGGCGTAGCTTCTCTTTCCCTTAGACTCCCTCTGTTCGCCCATACTCTTCCTCACTTCACCGTCTGACCCCTCAGTACCCGCTCGCGCAAGGCTTAGTTCTCCAGTTCGTACTCAGTGCAGCTGTAGAGGCGTGACTGTGATGGCTGAAGTTGCTCCTGCTTCCGGCACCCTCAATCCCTTTTCTCTAATCCTAGCATCTCAGACTCTCAGTACAAGTAATTATTTTTTACTGTTGATGAGATTTAAAAGATTTATATGGTTGATAAGCTTGTGATTAATTTAGTTCAGTTAGGAGTGCATCAATAGTTTATTCTTTTTTTCTGGTTTGGGCATCTCATGATCTTAACATCGGTTGTTCTATTTCATGTGATCTGTTTTCTACATGTCTCCCGCGAGCTCTTTATCCTATGGAAGATCTTGGGGTTGTGTTTTGGGGATTTGTCGCAAAAAGAATCAGTTTTGGGAATTTGTTGCAGAAAGAAAGAAAGTTTTTTGACTATCAAAGAAAAGAAGGCGATTTTCTAGGTCTTATTAGTGTAATCTTTCTTGCCCAAAACTTGATTGTGTTATTGTCCATTTCTCTCCGCAAAAGTTCATCTGCTCTTCTCATGCTACCACGCATGTTGCCAATGCCCCATGACCTTGAGCCGATTTGCTGGGCTTTATTAATGAAATTCTTGCGCACAACTGGTTTGCTTTGGGGGGCAAAAAAAAAAAATCAATACCATTGCTAGCATTGGTTTGCTTTGGGGAAGGGGGAAAAAAAAAATCAATTCCGTTGCTGGCATTTTACTTTTGTTCCTTTACGGCAGGACTGCTATTAGATTAATAACAGAGTGAATTCATTTGGACAACTCTATTTATTGCATGCTTTCATTCAATTTGGTGACTAAGTTTTAACCTTTTTTTTTTTGTGGGTTTTCCATTTGTTGATATTTAGGTGGAAGCTTGTTTGCCAGAGCATAAAGAAGCAATCCAGCAGGCTTTTGTCCTGCTACCGATTGAATTTTCTGTTTTTATACGTGTAGGTATATGTGCGTGCACAAGTAAGGAACCGCTTATGTTTGGTTCATGGCTTTTATTTGATTATTATACATAGAATTATTTGTACTGTGTCATCCTGGAATGAGTCCTACTTTACTTCCTAAACATGTTCTTGCTGTTGTAAGATCTCAAAAGGACCCGCTTAAAGCACTTGACATGTTCAACTCAGTGAAAAAGGAAGATGGATTCAAGCACACGTTATTCACTTATAAATGCATGATTGAAAAGCTTGGACTCCATGGGGAATTTGAGGCAATGGAGAATCTTCTTTCAGAGATGAGATCCAATATTGATAACAGCTTACTGGAGGGAGTATATATTGAAGCCATGAAGAACTATGGGAAGAAAGGGAAGATTCAGGAAGCTGTTAACGTATTTGAGCGGATGGACTTCTACAATTGTGAGCCATCTGTTCAATCATTTAATGTGATTATGAATATACTAGTTGAGCAAGGGTATTTCAATCAAGCCCACAAGGTATACTTGAGAATGAGAGATAAAGGGATTGCTCCTGATGTGTACACCTTTACTATAAGGATAAAGTCCTTCTGTAGGACAAGCAGGCCCCATGCTGCTCTGAGGCTGCTCGATAACATGCCTTTCCAGGGGTCTGATTGCAATGCAGTAGCATATTGTACAGTTATTGCTGGATTTTATGAATGCAATCATCCAGTTGAGGCATATGAATTGTTTCATAAAATGCTTGGGCAATATCTATGTCCTGATATTGCCACATTCAATAAGCTTATTCATACACTTTGTAAGAAGGGTAATATCCTAGAAAGTGAGAAGCTTCTCGACAAGGTGTTAAAGAGGGGGATTTCTCCTAATTTGTTCACTTTCAATATTTTCATTCGAGGACTTTGCAGGGAAGGTGCTCTTACCAGGGCTGTCAAATTATTTGATAGTGTGTCTAGGGAGGGCCTAGTTCCCGATGTTGTAACCTATAATACATTAATCTGTGGATTGTGTAGAAATTTAAAGGTTGTCGAGGCTGAGAGGTATTTGCACAAAATGGTTAATGAAGGACTTGAACCTGATGGCTTCACCTATAATAGTATTATTGATGGATATTGCAAGGCTGGGATGATACAGAATGCAAAGAATGTTTTGAAGGATGCAATCTTCAAGGGGTTTGTGCCTGATGAGTTTTCTTATTGTTCCTTAATTAATAAATTATGCCAGGATGGTGAGATTGATCATGCCATGGCTGTTCTTAAAGATGCACTAAGTAAAGGTATAAGGCCTAGCATTATTGTCTACAATACCTTAATAAAAGGGCTATCTCAACTGGGTCTTATTTTGCCAGCTTTGCAACTGATGAATGAGATGTCAGAAAATGGTTGCCGCCCCAATATATGGACATATAATTTAGTTATCAATGGCTTGTGCAAGATGGGTTGTGTATCTGATGCCAATAAACTCATGAACGATGCTATTGCTGATGGGTGTCTTCCGGACATTTTTAGTTTCAATACTTTGATTGATGGTTACTGTAAACAGTTGAAGTTAGATGATGCGATTGAGACAGTGAATAGAATGTGGAGTCATGGTGTGACTCCTGATGTTATCACGTATAACACTTTATTGAACGGCCTTTGTAAGGCTGCAAAATACGAAGATGTAATGGAGACTTTCAAAACAATGTTGGAGAGGGAATGCGTTCCTAACATAATTACGTACAACATACTCATAGAAAGCCTTTGCAAAGCTAAGAAAATGAACGAGGCTATTGATTTGCTTGTGGAAATGAAAAGCAAGGGTTTGACTCCTGACACTGTGAGTTTGGGGACATTGATCAATGGGTTCTGCGAGATTGGTGATCTTCATGGAGCTTACCAGTTTTTCAGGACGGAAAACCAACAGAAGATTTGTCATACAACAGCAATATATAATATAATGATTAATGCATGCGCTGAAAAGCTTGATATGAATACAGCGGAAAATCTGTTTACTGAGGTGAATGAAAATGGACTCAATCCAGATCGCTATACTTATCGAGTCATGATTGATGGTTTCTGCAAGACTGGAAATGTCACTTCTGGATACAATTTTCTGTTGGAGAAGATTAAAAAAGGGTTTATCCCAACACTGACAACATTCGGGCGGGTTTTAAATTGTCTCTGTGTGGAGCACCGGCTTCCTGAGGCTGTTGGCATCATTCACTTAATGGTAGCCAAGGGCATTGTTCCAGATACTGTTAATACAATTTTTGAAGCTGACAAAAAGGAAGTAGTAGCACCTAAGATTGTTGTGGAAGACTTGTTGAAGAAGGGCTCTATAACTTATTATGCTTATGAGCTGCTGTATGACGGGGTTAGAGATAAGAAGACACTTAAAAAAATCCCCCAACCATGAATTCACGATAGCCAGGGACTAGGTTATCAGCTGTTGACGGAAATGTGTGCAAGACCTCCTGATCTGCAACTCGGTTCCCAGGATAGGAGAGCTTCCAATAGATGCATATAAAAACGTTGAACTTCCTATAATCTGAAAGTGAACTTAAGGTAAATGCTATTTATATCTTTCTCTATGTAACTTTATCCACAAGCAAAACAGAACGCTCAGAATTTTTCGTTTTGGAATTTTCAGGAATAGCACAAGGGATTGCAAATTTGAACCTAATTCCGTAAGTTACTTTAGTGAAGGCATTACTTTTATCTTTAAGCCCTAGCATTTTGAGAAATGGTTTGAGTTAATATTAACTTAGCAGATCGGAGCATTGTTGAATGGAATGTTATCCCAGATGCAAAATCACCATTATTTACGTTTGGCTGGGGAAACAATGAATGAGGCTTCTATATCGTCAATACCTATTGGAAGCTTAAGAATCCTCCATGATGTTTTTGTTATCTTAACCAATGCCTTTTAATCTATTCCGCTTTATGTCATGAAATCATGAATAGTATCTAGGCCTTTGGCATTTGATAACATAGTGGTGGTCTAGGCCCAAAAGCAGCACAATACCCCAAGTTTGTACCCAAGAGATCTTCGGCCACAAGGCCACCAATATTATCCTAAACCAGTACCATACTACCATGGTGAACTGGCTTTTCGGGCTAGTGACTGTGTGAGTCCTTCAATATCATTTACTACCTTCGGTGCTAAATATAATAATTGACAGTCCTAAATATAATATTCCAATTCACTTTGTCTCTTAAATTTATAATGTATTCTCAAAAATATCCTTATTGATTGTACGGTGTTTCTGCCGAAGTATAGTTTCAACATACATGATTGAATAAGGGTGATTTTAGGAAGTCAACACATGTTTGTTACAAATAACTGATTTTCTTAATCTCTTTAATTTAGTTATCTAGCTCTTATATTAAGAATTTGAAGTAGTACAATTCATCAAATAGAGACACGGCTTCTGTTTTGATTAAATAACCCTAGTTCGATTGCATGAGATTTGCTTTGTTACAACTTGCGTATTGTGCGGGAGATTTGTTATGCATTATCTGACAAAAATATTACAGGAGTTATCTTTCCTTTCAAAGTCTTATAGCTGGTAAACATTTCTGCAGTGATGGAAAATCAAACATAGGAGGCAGCTAAGTGTTTCAGTGTACTAAAGTCAGTGAAGCATTTGTGATCTGTGCAGTGAATTAGGTGGAGGGCGGCACAGAGCATCGAAAACAAGTGGAGCACAAAAAGTGGTTAAAAGCCATCCCCAGAATGCTCATCAATGTGAATTATGAGACACATCATGTCGAGGGAAAGGCAAGGAAGCCCAATCAAGAACAAGGCAAGTATTGATGATCTCCAGCTGCACACAACTGTTTGATAATGACCATGTCCCGCAGAATTGATTTTCAATATAGACTACAAGAGTGGTGGGAGTCTGTAGATTACATCTCCGGATTATTGTACTCTTGCGACAAGGGAAGCGAGATTCCCTCTGATAGTCGTAAAGAAACTTTTTTTCTTACTTTAGCTTAAGCTACCATTTTAAACAGCCCTGTAATAGTATTTCCAATGCATCAAATTAACATATAAACTTTGGAGGCATTTTGGTTAGGAGGATGGAGTAGGGCCTATTAATTTAAGAAAATTCTGTGGCTAATTTTTAACCATTTTTCTTAAAAATATTTTTTCATCACGTTCCATTACTGTCTACTAAATGTCCCTCCAAATCTCGTAAATAAACAATTTCATTCCGTCGGAAAGGACTCATTGGCCAGTGGCTTGCAATGCTCAAGGGTTGGTGAATTTATATTTGAAAGATAACTATTAATAAAAATTTTGTTGCTCAACCAGACAGAAAGTCAAGATGGCCGAGTTGGTCTAAGGCGCCAGTTTCAGGTACTGGTCCGAAAGGGCATGGGTTCGAATCCCATTCTTGACAGATTATCTTTCATTTTTTCCTCCAACTCCGTAGCCTCCTTGAAGCTGAAAAGTGGTCTTCTGCACAGTTTAGTGCACAGATAGTGCTTAGCTCCTGAACGTAGTGTGATTGTTGAAAAATTAAAAAGAGATTGTCCCAAAAGCGGTGGATCTTATGGTTGAAGTTGGATTAAGGTTCCCTCACAGTTCTTTTTTTAAAAACAATCCCGCAGAGTTGTAGTGTGATAAATATAATTTCAACCAAACACATGGATGTCATTTTCACACAATAATGACATCAATTTCACACTGAAGGGTTCAGCAATATTCGAGTCATTGTACTGCAATCGTTGCCCCAAAAGGCTGAAGAGACGACTGGAGTTTGGATGCTAGCCAGTAATGAATATACTGCAGATCATAATGTTCACACAATAATCTAGATCATGATGTAAAATCAATGCCACATGAATTTACCATTTAACTCGTCCCTTTTTCGGAGCACGCATTGAAGGCGTTGTCTATTGATTTCTTACACAACACGTGCATGTTATCATATGATTTTATGTTATGTTGATGGATCGGATGAAAGAAGAAAAAATGTACACATAACGGGTTGTGAATAAAAAGGTTCAATACTTGTATATTCTTGTGAAATTTTTTTTGACATTGATCAGAAACAACATGACAGTCACTGAATTTGAAAAATAATCTGAGAAAGAAAGAATCTGAAAAATAAGGGGTTGATCATAAATAGGAACGATTATTAAGAGGAAGTATGTGCATTATACTGCTGAAAAGGCTTGTGTCTTTGTGAGAACAAAAGGCTCAAAATCTTAAAACTTTAAAGGCAGGATTCTCTCAATGCAGATCTCAACTCTCAAGGAACCTCCTCTTTCTACATCTATGCCCACCCCAATTAATGCATGCCCCCCGATCGTCCTCCTTTGTCTCCTCCAAGCGTGAAATACCCACAGCTTTCAATTGTCATTTGTAAAGATTTAGCTGAGTTAGATTTTGATGGATTATCAGAATATAAAGCAGGCTTTAAAATTCAAATATTGTTCATAAAAGTCTTTCTTCTTAATTACCTACAGTCTTTAATCTTCATAAAGGTCTTTACATAGTACTTGCATCATTGAGGTCTTTATATTGTCAGCATGATTAAACTTCATACTCTTATGTAATATGACTAATATCTTTAGTAATTAAAACGTTGTTCTTTTGGTTGGGCAAATATTTTTAATTTTGAATATGAAAATCTCACACCGTTCGTCAATAATAAAAAGTAGAAAAATAAAAGAAAAATGTCCTTGTCCAGCTATCATAGCTTGAATTGATTTGACTTATCATGAGAAACGTATAATCCAGCTGAATACAAGTACATGTGCGTATGTATCATTATAAACGTAATTATGTGTTCCCATCTTGAAAATTTTAATTGAGATGAGCCTTTTTACAACCATTATTTTCTTACTTTTTTTTTTTTGGGTGGAGCGGGCCCATTTGATGACCCTCAAAGCTGAATACTCAATTACGATTTTAACCTTGGTTTATTTCTCTAACCTTTTCTTCACTCGGGAAAGAAAGAGAAAACGATTCGTTATTCGGTTGCTAGGTGGTGGGAGTGTCGTTTTCAGGGGCCATAACAAGGGTTTGACTTTAGCAGGCAGGGGAGAAGGTCAACACCTTGAGCTCGGCCGACAAAGGGGCCCACCAGAGTGCTACGTGTCAGCCTGTTCACGTGGCATGGGTTGGGTCGTATCAGAGCCACATTTGATTCACACCTGGCAGCTGAACTCGGGGATACGGACAAATCAGTCCCGCCCTTTTAATGATGCTGGCGTCATCAGGGGACACATGGCAGGCAAGCAAGGGCTGAGATTCCGTCCGGGCGTTCCAATGGTTCTCGGGGGCGTTAGGCTCCCAATGAATATGCCCAGCCACGATACGTCCACGTTCATCCCCTACGCCCCAGAGCCTGTGACCTTCGTTCTGTCCACGTCCACGTGTACGGCTGTTACTCGTCCAAGAAGTATAATGCCTATTCATATACATATATATATATATACACTCGTCCGTATGTAATATAGAACCCAATTGTTAAGTTAGTTTTGTTTCTAAATATAGGACTCATTTCTTATATTTATCAATTTTCTCTAAATTATCCTTATGGATACTCCCTCAACTATAATCAAGTAGAAGAAGAAGAAAGAGTATTAAAAAAGATGATTATGGTATTTAAAAAAAAACGTGTCATGTTTTTATAATTGACTAATTTACCTAACTTTCTTAATCTAATTACATTAATTAAATGAGTCTTATATTAAATAACGGTACAATATATAAGTATGTATGAAGCAGTGTAAATAAAGTAGGAACTAGGAAGTTGGGGTACATGTTCTAGAAGCCAGACATGTGTCATGCCTGCATCTTACAATATACTTCTAATGGGCTTCTCATTTCAATTCATGACTGCAATTAGGCTTCCGAGTGCCATGCATCTGCCACGTACAATACTCGTTCATAAATACTCTCACTTTTTCCTTTTAATATACTTCACGGCGGGTGGAGTCGTATTATTTTGGGACGGAAGGGCCGACTTTGTTGTGTAGTGCCATTAACGTATTTTCGATTTCGCTGCAATCTCCGCCTCCCACGTCCTGTCCGCAGCATGCCCACCTCCTCCGTCCAATTAATGCCTTCCTTCCCATTTTCTGATTCCTTTATTCTACTTTCTCCTATATATCCTAACTATAACATCTGCTCCCAAAAATTTGTTTTCCTCTGAAATTTTAATCTTTTTATCTCTTATTTATTTTTTTCATATTTATCTTGTTAATTTCATCATTTTTCTCTTTATTTCCCACGTTTAATGTTATCATTAAAAGACGGGAATATATTAAGGATCAGAAAAGGGAACATATTTGTGCATGATAATAATGATTAATAATCAACTTAACTATTTTTAAAAAAATTATAAATCAGTTAACTAGATCTAATACTTACACCGATGAGAGGATCCATATAGCAAGTTCTTTTATGTTCCGACGGCTGAGTTGAATAGGATATGGACAATGGAGTTAGTACTTTGTGACCACGTACGCATAATTGGTGACAATCTCCTATTTGATGTCTACTGATTTTTTCACACTTCATTTATGTCCCACCCTCTGTTTCTTCTCCTGTACTAATAACTCATTTCACAATTTGGGGCTCTATCTCTGTCTTCAACTCATTCGTTCCCTCTTAACCTTTCTTCTCCAATACTGCATTTTAACATATTTCCATATTACTTCAATATTTCGTGTCTGAATGATCAAGACAGCAGCCCAGTAATCTGTGTGCGCGTGCGCGTGTATATAAAGTTTCATCTATAAACAATTCTTTTTAATTCTAAATATAAGTTTTATTTAAGAATTCCGGTTCAGTTCTAACTATTACATTTCATCCCCTCCTATATTTGGCTTTTCTTTCTCATGATACCCCTACTTATTGGGAGAATTTCCATATGTGCGCTAAATTTTAAACATTAAAATCATAGTATTTGGGGGAAAAAAATCACTGATTTTTACATATTGATTATAAATAACTAATTCACTTACTTTTTTCTTTTAATTTTACGAATTAGTCTGGAGTAGCTTATATAGTTATATTTAAAGACCGAAAGAGTATCTATATTGTGACACTTTTTACGTTATATATATATCCCCCCAAAAAATATCTCTCTCTCAAAATTGATAAAGTCAAATTAAAGTTCCTCTAAGAATAAGTTGGCCGTGGTGTGCGCGCGTGTGTATTATCTTTTTATTTCATAGGCTCAAGCTCCATGTCTATCCAACTTCAGTCCTGGAATAATAACTTGTTCTGTATCTAATTTTGAATTTCTTGTCCTCTAAGTCTGACTTGTTGTCTTGTTGATTTTTCCTGATAGGGACCATTATTCCTTATACATCGATAAAAAAAAAATCATTTAAAGATAACGTAATAGGATCAAGCTAAGTGTTGGTTGAAGTAATCGTCTTTCTGTCTATTATATATATAATAAATAACACTGTCTTATAAAAGTCTGGTCCTCTTTAATTATATACAGAGATCACTGCAGATTTTGACATGTCATGTGAGAATGGTATTCAACTGAGACATTAAAGTTGATATCAAATTATGGAAAATGAACGACAGAAGCATGCACCCTAATGAGAAGTGACAGGTGAGACTTTTGCGATAATATCATAATGAATGAATATGAGATTATACATATCACAATGCAATAATTAATAATTGTTCACACCATATATACAATTAAAAACCATTTTGATACTTTTCGTCTTTGTGGGTAATTACCAATTATATATGCTGCAAATTATTAAACTCTACGAGTCCTGGAAAAGATAGGTAACCACTATTACAACAGACTTTCCCATTTCTTGTTCATCGCTAGTTGTATCACTTAGCTAGCTCCCATCATGATCTTTTTTTCCTGATAAATTCTAAATAATTAATCGATTATACACATATATTATATATAAAATTTTAATGAAATGATAGATTTTTATTTTTTTTATTTGCAAAGTGAGATAACTCCACACATATACAGTCCTCCGCGACATTCTAAGTTCTAAGCGAGATAAGTTAAATCATTCTGTAACATTAATAATTTCAGCTAATTAACTATTCTCGGTCAAAAG